CTGCTCCAACTTCCCTCCAAACCAGGCCGGTAATCTTCCTAAGCTTTCCTTGGTTTTACGGATTCTTCTCGCCGAACGTTGTACGTTGTACGGCACATATCGGAGGCAATCCTAAAATTCAGATTTCGGTTTGGGAAAGTGGGATGGGTTTCTCCGAAGGCTTGACGGCTGGCTCACGAACGTGAGGACTTGGGCACTCACTTTAGAGGTAGGCACTCAGTTGATCATTAACAACGCGTGGGTAATTGTCTAAAGCCTCCAGCCAGTTGAACGACTTGTTGATTTATCCGAGGAGTGCGAGCCTTAGGTCTCAGACCAATGAGCGCTTGCAATGGCTGACAGGCCTGCACTATTGTCAAAGCGGAGAGGGTGCGTGTGGAGCGCTCGTGTCGTGAAAACCGTCTAATCAGATTTCCCGTTTCTAAAGTAGTCCTGTTGCCTGCAGGGCCTACTCGCTGTGGTTCAGCTGGATCGTAGTCTCACAATAGTATCGCACGGGTTTTGCAATGGCTCTCCCTTGGTATTTTTCACTACGTATTACCCTGGACGCGAGTCAATGCCGTGATTGGCCCCTGGTAGCCGGTACCGTCGTCGATTGCCAGGATTCGGTGAGTAAAAGTTCGTTTGGTAAGTATCTCTAGGACTCTTTCTCAAGGGGGGAGGTTTCCCCGCAGATGTCATCGCGACGGTTGTCGGCGTTAGCCCATGCAGACCTCTCAGATGCGGGACTTGTCGCTCTCTGTTTTTCGGCAATCGCCAGACGGGCTCGGGAAGTTGCACGGGCGCTTTCTCGACCCTCGTGGATTCCCGAGCGCTGGCATCCCAGCGGCTCACCGGCTTTAGCTGTGAATGATCCCGCCTAGACGCGCCTTGTGTGGCGAAAGGCGAGATTTATCCAGGACCCCGCCGAGACCATACCGAGGACCGACTCAAAGAGGATGACCCTGGTCTTTGTCCTCGATGCTGATGAGGTGCGCAATTGCAGTTAAGTATATATTGGAATGGAACTGTGCCCATGATCTTTCTTCTCCTTTGTTTTTACCCAAGGTGCTTGATAGATGTAATGGAGCGAAGTTTGCGGTTTGACTCACGCCTTCTGTGAGTCGTCGTTTTGTCATCACAAGGCCTATCTATCTTCATTAACCCTCAATCTGATACAGCCCCTCGATTATTGAGGGCTCATCACCGAATAGGAAGGGAACATTGTTTACGAGCCTCGAGGACCTAGGGGGAAACTTCCATCACCGACGAGTGGCAGGTAAGGGTGAATATATTGATTCCCTGATTTCCTAATCTTGAAGTTAGGTGCGCCAACAGCGCGCAGTTACCGTTGTTTGTGTCCGGTTCTTCCTCTAAAGGTAGAGGATTCCACGCCCTTGATGGAGGCGATCATGGTAAGGGCAGGGTGAGCTCATTCAGTTGCCTTGCGGTGTCGGCGTGTCGCACTGCATGCCAAAGGTTAATTTCGCTTGCTTCTCTTCATTCAGTGTCTGTGTTGACTCGACGGTGACACCCTTTCTGGCGGGCTTCTTGCGACGGGCGCTCTTTTCTGGCCTTCTCGAAGTCGGCGATCATAGGGCTGGCTGGTGTTGGCAATTCGAAACAAGTCTCGGAAGGCTGTGTACGAATGGCACACTGATTCGGGGATTTCCATTGCATCGCTGCGCTGTTTTGTCATGTCACTTGGGCTGTCTATGGCGTGTTTCTCGTTTGTTGTAATGCCCTTTAACAGATATCTGACGTCTCGCATTATCATGGCCTGACTGACGCGTTCATTGCACCATTTCCTGGGTTTCTTTGGTGGGCCCGCGACATGCTGCAGATTCGAAGACTTCTTTGAAGAGCCTATGCGCAACTAAAGGGCTACGTCAATGGGTCTAAGTATACAAAGGTCACGTCACTGCTCTTTCTTCTCGTTCTTTGTCTCCAGCTCCGAACCCCTCGAAGTCAGTCGATCTTCTAGTACCCCTTTCCATGGGAGACGGAAGCATGTGCGGATACGGTACTTTCGTGACGGAAACTTGGACGTGTGTTCGCTTCGCGGCATTGTAAGCGCCAAAAGAGGCCAACGGGGACTTTGGATGTCGCAATCTAGACGATGGACCTCGAATTAAGATCGAAATGTCGTTCTTATTGAAAAGGAACCAAGGTGCCGTGTGTTTCCTCCGTGTCGTGTGTTCGATGGTGTGTCCTGCTGACGGGCGGCGACCTAGAGTTGGAAGAGGACCTGACCTGTTTTTCGACTCCGCGAGTGCCCCTCTCTCTTAATTTTGAAAGAGGATGAGAAGAGGATGTCAGAAGTGGTTGCGGATTTGTGATCGCCGCATGGGATAGGCGTGGCGAGGTGTATCAGGTGTTAGTAGCTGCTTAGTGTCTCTGTGGGTGAGTGGATATTATCGTGTTTCACCAAGGAAGAACCGATGCTAAATCGAGGGTGGGCTGGGAATTCGGCATGGCGTTTGCTGCGTTCTTCAAAGGTTATGTTATCTGATAATTGTAAAAGTACTTGTCGAGGCCATCTCTATTGAATGCGTCCTAGAAGGGTCGAGAAGCGTGTAAAGACTATTCTTATTGTGATTTAGTCGAGGGTTGTTGTTGATTGACGATTGGCAAGACCTGGACACCGGAGTGCATTGGGTGTGATCTGGAAATTGATTGAGGCGATAGATCTAATCGAAAATGGCCATCGGGCTATGGAAGGTACGACCCCGTCGATCATTGAGGCTTCTTCTTCTTCGTCTTTCATTTACATGAAAGACAGAAAGCACAGTTTTTCCGGATTCTTAGTCTCACGTCACGCGTTGGTGGTTGAAAGGCGAGAAGTATTTTTGGTCTTTCTTTTGCGCGGCTCTTGCCAATTAACCTTTTGGATTCCCTTTGGGCCTTTGTGCATGTGAGCGAGCCAGCGACAATGGTAGAGAGCTTCGACGAATCAATCGATTGATTGGAACTTGATGGCGAGTTCTATTCCTGGGCTTTCGTCAGCAGCGAATGAATTGGGGGTGGTGAGGATGTGGAGAGTGCTGGGTTGCGGGTTGGTGGTTGGAGATGTGAGATGAGGAGGGTATCAGAGTCGAAGTTCCTGGAACACCCCGTACCATTGCTTCTCCGTTGTTTCGTTCTACCATCCGATCAGATTACTCACTATGAAAGGATAGAACGGAGCGCCGTTGGGGATTCCCCTGGCCCCGGTAATTCGAACTCGTCCGTTATGATCTGCGTTGTATGTATCAATCGGTGCTTTGGAGGATACGTCTTGCATTTCTTTCATTTACCAAGGTGGTGGGTGCCACCCCCAGAAGCTTAGGCGTTCCAGTGGGTTGGTGCATACGGAGATGGAGAGATGAAGGATTGAGCTCTGAGTTTCTTTGTTGGGTGAGATGAAAAGGAAGTGGGATTGCTTGGATTGGTGGAGCGTGTGGATCTGGGAAGGTTGGGCAGTGTGAGGTTGGTAACGGAAGCGCTGGGAAAGAAATTGCCTCAATGAGGATGAGGATGTGCGACCACGTTGAGAGCGCGTGTGTATGCGGTGGGCTCTGTTTAGAACTCGTCCTTTTGGTGATCGGAGAATGGAGGGGTTCTTTGTCGAGGGCCCTTTGAGGGTTTGCGCTGAGATCGTGTACTGCCTGGTGGATTCTGGATGGGGTACGAGAAGGTACACTAATGGGATTGGCACAATGGGGATCGCGATGTGTATCAAACTCTTTTCTTTATACTTTAGAGAAGAGCGTACGTCCTTGTTTATGAGAGGGAGGAGGTCACGACAGGTGGCTGGTGCTTATGGTCACCGGTGTGGTGGCTTTCTGCACCAAGCTCCGTGAATGATGGGGAAAGAGTATCTTTGGAAAGGAGGGTTGTGGTATTGGCCAGTGGGTTGAAAGGCATTTCGGTGCGCGGCCTTCTTTGATTTCATTTGTCGAGTCAGAGGTGAGGGTCACGCTCACGTCATTTAGGTGGATATGAAGTTATGAGTTTTCATATGAGGGTAAAATCCGTGCTCACCCCTTTGCTGTCTAGGTGGTCCCGTGCGCGACACCTGTGAGTGGCTTGCTTTAAGAATTTATTCGGAAACCAGTGTAAAGGTTTAAGATGTAGGATGATTGGCTTACAGCTTGTTTGATAGGACTCTGTTAGTTTAAGCAGTGGCCTCTGCTATCCAAAAAATCCCCGCCCGAAGTAGAATAAGCAGTTGGATTCAAAGGCAAGTGTAGATGAGGTGTTTTCGTTCCCGCTCCGAGTCGGATACCATCAGACCCTGGGGACGAACCTAATTTCCGTGTGGGAGGGATCACCGCCGTGCTTCGATATTGGCGGGCCACTTAGGGGCGTCGACGAGCGGATATCTTTAAATTTATTGGCCGGATTCCTGCTCGGGGAGGCCTTGAAAATCGTCTGGTAGCACCCTGCCTGTTCTTGAGGGAGCCATAACCCCATGTATTCCAAATGCTTTAGCGGGACAAGTTGGTATTTCAATAAGCTTAAAAAGTGCACTCAATTGAAATTTGCTTAGGTCGAACAGAGAGTGGTATCTTCTCGCAAGCTGGCCGTGGCGCGGGGGAGGCGCTCAAAGAACCAAGATAGGGGCGTGCGAACTCCTTGACACGAGGCTGCCATCAATCCATCAATCGCGCGAGATCGAACCTCGCTGGACACTGGTCATTTCATTTCGCTCTGGTCTCGCTCCTCCTGTTGGTCCCTACCACACCCACCTTGTCTTGACGACCTTCCCTGAACCTCATGGGACAGGCCTGAAACGCTCGCTGAGTTAGGGCTGAAACGATTATTTGGGTCAGGTTTGAACGTTGAAGACGAAGAAGCGATATCGTATCTGGCGGGGTCATTCGCCGGTTGGAACCTGAAGCCTGAAGAACGCGAAGCAAACGTTGTTGTGTTGAAGATTCAAGAGGCGCCAGTTATCCGTATTCATTAATCAGGGCCTGCTGGGGAAACGATATCGATATCTCTATTCAGGGTTGAAGGAACGCTAGAAGTTGGTTGAGATGTCTGGTTTACCGGGAGATGGACGGGTTTCGTTGGGCAACCATGGGCATGAGAGTTCGGAGCAGTTTGAGGAGGCGTTGAAGGCGTTGGAGGTGTATAAGAAGAAGGATCCGTCGAAAGGTGAGTGCTGTAGTTCTTGTAGTTGGGATTATTGCTGATGGGGTTTGTGTGTTTTTGTCATATCTGCCTTGGTACCCTGGGGTTCTGCCTGTTTGGATGTTGGATGGGGACACTGTATGGACCCTACGAACCCTCGAACGTTCGGAATATCTGGACACTGTAATGAACACTGCCTATACGCTCCAACGCACGCCTGGACACTCGAACGAACGTTCTGAATACTCCAACGAACACCCCGGTGAACGACCCTCACGCTACCCGGAACACATCCATTAAACTGGTCTATGTATATGAACAGTGGTCGTCCGCTTCAAAGCAGTCGGCAATGCCCCGATTATGAAACAGAACTTTTACAAGATTACCTCGTCGAATCGGTTCCAAGCTGTGATACATTTCTTGAGGAAGGAGTTGGGCTGGACTGCGGGGGAGCCTTTGGTGCGTTCTGTCTCTGCTGGCGGTGTGGGCTATCGCTGATTATTCTGGTTATGGTTATCCTTATGGCGGTGTAATCCCTTGCTCGTTTTCCTTCCCGGCCCTCCTATCGGTCTGGATTGTGTTGGCTGGACCTACGCGTCTATCAACCTCCCAATTCCGATTTCTCGACTTATTCGACCTCGTGGACGCGTTCCGTTTTACCCTGTTCGATTCCTTTAACGTGGATATAGTTCACGTATATCAACCTGTCGTTCTCCCCTGCACCTGACGATACGGTTGCGAATCTGTTCAAGGTGAGGGAGTGACCCTGTTATCGCTATGAGTCCTTGGCCGTTCTGACGATTCCGTCTGTGTTGCAATGCATAGGCGTGTGGAACCGATGGGCATTTGATTGTTAACTATAGGTACGTAGATCTGTTTTGGGTGCTCTGGTTCTTGGGGTGCTGGGGGGTCGTCTTACTCCTTGCTGAGCTGACTCGGTCCATTTTCTGCACTCCCTACACTCCCTCTCGCTCTTAACTTGGTACTGACGTCAATCTCTATCACAGTACAACGCAAGCCTGGGGTTAACGCTTTCTCCAATCGCATTCCCTTCCGACCACATAGACCCACCCGATTGAACCATTTCTTTTCCCATCCATCTCGTTATCTTTTCTCATGTTCTTGTACATTATCTTACCCATTCATTTCGACCAATTCGTAATGCTGTGTTTGACGGGGAACCACTGGGTAGGGGTCGGGAAGGATGAAGCTCATTGTGATTCTAGAAGGGTTTGGATGGGGTGAAGACATCCAGGGGGATTCTTTCCCATCGCTCTCTGGCTTCATGCCTTGTGCTTGGATCCATCTGACTGTCCATAGACAAGTCGGGTGATGGGTGCATCGAAGGGTGTTGTCGCTATCTCCCGTGTCAGGGTTTTACAAGGCATCTTTTGGGACGAGGTGTTTGATTCCGAATGTTCGGCTGTGGACAGGCTGTGTAGAGGCAATCTTACACAGAGCTTCATCGACGTCCACAACCAGGTGCCTTCGCATCTTGTTCGAGTGGGCGTAGACAATGGTTTACGATACTGGGCCTACAGCATCATGTTCTTGACAACGGGCGGCGAAGCCTTTGGCTTTGAACCTAGAGAAAAGTATACAAGCAATATGTGTCATTTAGGCGGTACAGTTACACACAAAGGAAGTCGTAACCACAGCCGTTCCATCCTTGAACTTGATTCCACACCGATATTGCATTCCCTCCATCCCTCCTTCTTTCAATCAACAATTCAATCTCCTTTCTTCTTCTTATCCTCAACGATCTCGACGTTATCGCCTGGGATACCCTTCAAAACACCCACTCCGTCCTGGATCATATCGTACACTTCATCAGAGACGTCTCCCTGAACGACGATCTCGTCCTCGCCAGCTGCGTTCTTAGTGACAGAAGCGCCGGTGGCGAACTTGGAAGCGAACTGTTTGGCTGCTTTTTTGAGGTCGATGGAGAATTTGTCGAGACCGTGGATGACGGTGACGTGTTTGCGTTTTGTGCGCTCGACTCGTTTGATAATGACCTGGATTTGGGGCGAGAATTGGAGTTATGAGGGATGAGGAGGAGAATGGAGGGAGAATATGGCAGAACGTACATGAGAAGCGAGCTTTTTCTGGAGTTCGGCTTTCTCCTTTGCTTCAGCTTTAGCCTCCTTCTTTGCAGTGTCCTTCTCGAGTTTGGCCTGTGCTTCCAAGCTGATCGTGCCCAATCTCGCAGCGAGATTATCTATATTCCAGTACCACCACGTACTATCAGCCTCAATCCCCCGCCCAAAGACCTCGATGAAGAGACGGCGCACCCTCAGAGTAGTACTTGTCGAACAAATCCGAATGGTTATCCTTCAGCCATTCTTTGCACTTTGTAAAGTGGGATCCGAATTCACAATATTCAGGAGGCCAGGAGCAGACTGTTCAGAAAAATGCTGCATGTAATTGGCAGAGTTCTTTGGACGGGGATGGGGAATGAAGGAGCCCACCTGCGCAGTAGAGGACTTGGACTGGCGGTCGTGGTTCGGGAGCTGCGGCGTCGGACGATTCGGCGGCGGCTGCAGGGCCCGGTGCGGGAGGAGGAGATTGGTTGCGTTGTTTTCTGCCCATTGTGCTTGGTTATTGAGTGGTTGTGGTGGTAAAGGTACGAGGAGGAGATGGTTGGAGCGATGATGATGAATGTTTGGGACAAGAAGTGATAAGATAAGATAACAGTGTTATATTCGTTCTCACGCCCCTATTCTTGGTGTAGGCGCTAGGTTTGTGTTTTCTGTTTGCATGTATACGAAAATCAGAGGTTCTTTGGACTTCTGGTGATCTACTATCCGCCCACTGTGATCGTCGAATCTACTCTTGATGAGAGGACCATGACACGACTGGAGTCGTCCAAGGTCGCCAGACTCCGAGCAGATGGAGATCGGTGGATGGCAATGGCATCGCCCCAAGAAGATTCAAGCGTAAAGGTATTGTCGTGGCATCAACATGGGCGGTCGGCTTGGTTCTGTATCAGAATCTTGAAATCATGGCTTGTAATTGTCGCGGTTTATAACGAGCGTCGTTTTGGCACTGGTTGATCATCCACCCCCACCTGGATTCTTTCCTTAGAGCTGGACTCTTTGGAATTACCTCGAAGGCGCCCCTCGAGCTGGTTCTCATCTGGTGTATAGGCTGGACCTTTCTGCGACGTCCTCGTCTGTGCTCTGCTCTCGCTCTGCTGCCTGGTCATATTCTGTTGGCTTCAACACCCTCTGGCCGACTTCAATCACTACAACCGTCGAGTAAAATCGAGCCTTTCGAAAGATGATGCTTCACTCCTTCACCAAACTATCTTGTATCCTCCTCGCCTTGCTGCAGATATGTGGATGCATCGTATCTGCAGGACCCATCAAGCGAGCTGAACCAGCCTTCGCACCCAAGTCCCCTGCAGCTGGGAGTCCACAGCCAGCCAGAGGTCCGAGCCTTGCTGCACGCTCCGGCGGTAAAACAAGTGTACAGAAGCCCAAGGCTCCTGTGCTAGGGAAACCTCTCAAGAAGAACGGTCATATGGATGTGAACCCGCCTTCGAGCTCCTCGAGCGCTACCTCGGAGTCGGGGATGAGGGTGGCGGAGGAGACCCGGGGAGGTTCAGGCCTGGTGATATTGTTGGTGCTAGGATTAAGCATTATGAGCCTTCGAAGGTGGGTTTGTTTCGTTGGGTTTATTTGGGTGGATTTTGAGCTGATGTTTGTGTGCTTGCTCCCTCCCCCTGACATCTTTCTGACGGTCACCCTACGCTCGCCTGCGCTCGTGGATGGCTTACATCTGTTCCTCCCATTCCCTACCTCTCTACCCGCCTTTTCGCCGAACCTCTGCACACATTCGACCTACATTATACCCACTCTCATCTACGCGTGTCGCCCACTCCGACTCACCATCCGTAATTTGCGCACACCTACACCATCTACTCGACTCACTCCAGCCCTTCCTCAACGCCATCCACCCAGCGGTTGTCGTCGCCGGCCCTCTCCCGCGCAACTGGTACCGCATCTCTGTTATCACCAACAACCCCCACCCTGAATTGAAGGGGTATGATCCTCGAGAGAAGGTTCAACTCCCACATTATGAGTAACGAAAGGACGTTTTTCTAACTGCATGTCCCTTGAAGATATCCAAGTACCTCGACCCAAGCGTTAAAGGTCTCGGAGGCACCATCTCACTCGGTATTCCGCGTCTCGTCGAAGGCAGAGTGATCAACATCTGGAAGAGGAGGGGGTACGGCGAGACTCCGCCTTTGAGGGCCGATAAATTGGCCATGCTGAAGCAGGATATCAGTGAGTCAACGTTCTTTCGGTTTTGATCGAGTGGATGGCTAAGGCATCGTTTCCTTCTTTGTGAACTTTTAGATGCGCATACCAGGGGGAGTTGGTTCCAGCCTTTGACGAGGCGGGCGTTGGAGATTGATGAGGTTGACTAGCCTGTGTTTTGGATTGGGTAGATTGGGTATGTATTACTTATTCTAACCTACATGTACCCTTGGGGACTCACACTTTGTTCAGGAAGTAACTCAGTGAAGGGAATACCTGGCGCAACGAGAATGTTGAATTACGACATAAAAAGGCCACTAGGTTATGAGCGAGAAGAGCGTGCACAATAGGTAGTCGAAATAAATGAACGAATAACGTTGTGGGTGGATAACAGTACGGGTGATAGGGCAGGACAAAATTGTGCCAACAAATCAACCATTTGAATTGGCGAGAGCCGGTAGTCCACAAGATGCACGGGAATACACCGCAGCAGAACATCCTCGAAGAGATGCATCGCTGAATGTTATTGACTTGTACGACTGTGATCAAAACCTCAAGTACGATGCACGCGAACTAAGGAATCAATGAATGCAGACAATCTACTTTGACCTACTCACTCCTCTACTGTTTGTACACCGGCCTCATCAGCTGCAGCTCCAGGTTCTCTCCCAAAACCCGACTTTCGCTGAAACTCGATAAGCTTCGCCACAATTTCTTCATGGCCCTTTTCCTGCGCCGCTGAGAGGGCTGTCTGTCCTTTGTTATTCTTGAGATCAAGGTCGATTCCCTGGGACTGGAGAAGGAGCTCCACAACCAGTTGGTTACCCTCGTCCGAAGCCAGAATTAAGGGACTGTTCCCGTCTCGGTCAGCCGAATTGACGTCGGTACCATCACACTCGAGTAGTAGGCGAACAACATCGTAGTGACCGAAGCGCGACGCTAGGGCGAGCGCGGTCAAGTGATGATTGCATCGGTGGTGGGGATCGATACCAGGATGGTGCAGGAGTCGAGAGACGGCATCGACATGGCCGTTCTTCGCCGCCCACAGCAGCGCAGTCGCGCCTAGAGTGGAACCCGCTGAACTGACATCGATTCCAGGAAAATGGAGGAGTCGAGAGATGACATCGGCGTGGCCTTCCATAGCCGCTACCATGAGCGCCGTCACTCCATACTCGACGGAGCTCACTGCATTGACCTCGATTCCGGGGAATTGGAGGAGTAGAGAGACGACATCGACGGAGCCTTCGCTCGCCGCCAGCATGAGCGCCGTCACTCCATCGTCGACGGTCACTGCATTGACCTCGATTCCGGGAAATTGGAGGAGTTGAGAGACGACATCGACGTAGCCTTGGACCGCCGCCGCCATCAATGCTGTTATTCCATGAGGAGAGCTCGCTGTATTGACCTCGATTCCGGGGAATTGGAGGAGTAGAGAGACGATATCGGCGTGGCCTTTGCTTGCCGCCAGAATGAGCGCCGTCACTCCCTCGGTTTCCCGGGAGCTCGCTGCATTAACTTCTATTCCGGGGAATTGGAGGAGTAGAGAGACGATATCGGTGTGGCCTTTGTTCACCGCCGCAATGAGCGCCGTTGCTCCGTGGGGGGAGTCCGCTGCATTGACTTCAATTCCGGGGAATTGGAGGAGTAGAGAGACAATATCGGCATGGCCTTCCATAGCCGCCAGCATGAGTGCCGTCACTCCATTGTGAACGTTCACTGCATTGACCTCAATTCCGGGGAATTGGAGGAGTAGAGAGACGACATCGACGTGGCCATGGACTGCCGCCGAAATCAGCGCCGTCATTCCTTCAGGGGAGCTCGCCGCATTGACCTCGATTCCGGGGATTAGGAGTAGTAGAGAGACGATATCGGCGTGGCCTTGGGCCGCCGCCAACATCAGCACCGTTAATCCTTGAGGGGAGCTCGCTGCATTGACCTCGATTCCGGGGATTTGGAGAAGCTGGAGCGCAACACCCTGGTGGCCTGAGGCGGTTGCACAAAATAGCGCACTATGCCCCTGCTTCGTTATAATGTTAGGGTCGATGTTCAGTTGAAGCAGGTGTTGTACAGCCATTTCGTCTCCGCTGAGAGCCGCTAGATGCAGCGGGGTCTGTTCCAGATACTTCGTCTTTGAATTAAGGTTCCAACCGTTGTCCGCGAGAAACTCGAAGTAAGGCCAAAGGCCGTAGTGAGCAGCGACATGAGGGGGGTCGAGGAGATCAAGGCTGTCCAAGACATCGACAGGGAATCTGTTGCATCGCAACAGAAAGTCCTTGACTAAGGCGGTTAACTCCGAGTCAGAGTGACATTCCCCAATGTGAGCGCCTATTTGTTCGTGAGCATATTGGAGAAGCGGTTGCTCCTCCAATGCATCGTGAAGTTCTTCAAGCTCTTTAAGATCCGCCTGGAGTAATCCACCGGAAACAAGACGTTGAATCAAGACCTGGGTGATTAGGATATGTGGTTGGGGATAATCTTCGAGAAGAAGGGGGACGAGGGCATCTTTGGCGGTATAATCTACAAAGCAGTGCGTTGAGAACTCGTCGAGAGGACTAGAGAAAGGCTTACGAATTAGGCGGACAATATTGCTTGTGTGGTGTTCGACCAGCCCGCAGCACACCGAAAGTACAGATGCTTCGTCTGGCATCCGTTCAGGCGAAAACGCCCCTGTTTCAGGGTCTGTTGCCAGTGCGTATCTCAAATCCTGCATAGAGAGCGGACCACGAGCGAAGGCTAGCCAGAAGAGAATTTGCATAGCCAGCTCGCGAGATTCTGGGTCTTGGTCCTGTATTCGCTGCAAACTGGCCGCATACACCCCTTGGATACCAATCGGGAACTCGGCTAGTTTGGTCTTCACGCTTTGGAGCGTACGGCAATGTTGAATACTCTCGAGCTGAAGGGCCGCGTGGAGAAACCTGAGCCATGTTAGTTCGAGTACACACACTCCATTCCTTTTGTCACTCACATTCCTTCGGCTTTCTCTATTATCTGCTCCAATATCTCCTTCCTACAGTCATTCTGGTCCAATACTCGACCCAATTGCTTGAACCGTCCGAGTTTCTCTTCCATATGCAACTCGATATCACTGTCCTGGGCCGTCAACGTGCAAAAGACAGCGTGACTGAGGTCACCTCCCAGATCATCAAGCGGTCGGGATGTCAGCATGATGTTGCCTTTCAGTTTGTTGATAACTTGGATGAGGTCGAAGCGGACGTCGAGATGCGCCTCGTCCACACCGTCGATGACATAGTACACTCGATCGAAGTAGCTTTCCAAGGTCCGGAGCAAGCGAACAAGCTCGTCGACCGATGGCTCCGTTCCTTCAAGCTTGTGCTTGCTGTAGGTTGGTGCGACGACACCCGCGAGATCGTGGTTGCGCTCGATGCACTGCTTGATCAAAGACTTGATTATGTCGGTGACAGAAAGCGGTTCAGTGTACCTGCTGTAAACAAACAGCACACAGGTCCGCTCATAATCCTCCTCGAGAGGGAGCAAGTCATCGATGATCGTCGATCTAAAGCTCGGTGAGGTCCGTTGTGAACGCCATGGGTATGTGCTGTACTCACGCAAGAACAGTCTTCCCAGCGCCCGCTAGATGATTGCTGGATTAGCACAGTATTTGCTGCAATCGGCACGGAACCACACACGTATACCCATCCACCAGATGACTCCACCTCTACTTTTCTTCCATTCGCGGTACAGCCGAGTGTCAAGGAGCCACCTGCCTGTCCCAGCCGTCCTTCGCTTCCGGACATCATTATGAATTGTCCTGAAATTCACGCTGGAGGCCAGCCAACGGCCCAGCTCCTTCACCAGTTCGACTTTGAAGTAGTCAGGCCTTACAATACGAGAAATCTGGTATGAAATATACATACGACGTCTTTCTGGGGAGACTGTTGAGGTATGGCTGTTGATATGGACATGATATCGATTATTATTGAAGACCCCGCCTTGGATGTTGATATGGCGAGCATGCTCGAACACACGGCGGTCTTCCTTCTCAAAGTCGTCTAGATGTCAATAAATCATTTAGTCAACGTCGCTTTTTGTCGGGACATCGCAATCCTACAGGCTCCTGGTATCTTGCCTCCATGTCGTCCAACGGCACCCTGATTCGTTCGTCAGGATCGTCTTCAAAGTCCACAAACAAAATACTCACAGGCGTTGATACGAACTGGCCCATTCTTCCTCAGAACAAGGCAGGGTCACTCCCAGTTAGAGCTCTTCGCTTCCTGAACGGTCGTGGATGGGAGTGGGCCAGAGGTAAGTAGCAGTCTCTCACGAGCAGGGGGAACCCCCATTCTCCCAGAGAACACGGCTATGGCCCAAGTTCTCACTACTGCGTGTGTCACTTTGTGTCACTGTGTGTAGGCCACTGTCACACAAGAAATTCCGTTGCACCGCCGACATGAACACAGCTATAAAGAAATTAGCTGTAGTATTGTGAAGTTAAAATGCGCCGCTGCAATGGTGTACGAATTATAGGTAGGTCCAAGCAAACAACAGAACTTGGGATGAAGAGGGTGGCAATCGTACACGTAAAGCGAGCATGGGTGTGAACGCGAATAACTAAGGGTAAGCCGTGGGATACAGTAATACGAGTGACGTGAAAGCCGTCAAGGAGAGGTTAAAGGAGGGAGAGAGAGACAGTAGAAAGTTGAACGACCGAAGTCTACCAAGAAGTAAAATACAACCTTGACCCCGAGACATAGTAAGTAGAAAGCGGTAATCTACAGGTAATCTACACAGCAAAATAACCGTACCCGTTGATTCGTTCAGAGAATTAAGAGAGAGAAAATGGCCAGTTGAATGACCTTTGAACTGGCAGGTTGGAATTGTGGTAAACGTCGCAAGTTGGATGTAGAAGTTGGAATATGCAATGAATGGAATAGACTGAAATTTCGTCTGATGAAGACGGATAACTGAATCGTGTGGGTCGTCGATGTGTTTGATGCACGGTCTAAAAGAATGGAACCCTTGAAGGCGTCTACCACCCAGCAGCCTCGACAAGACTAGTCGCGAACGGTTCCAGGGGGAGAACTTTGAAAAGCCCTTTCTTGCCCCATTCACTGTTCGGCCCAAATTCGCGGCGCCATACTTTACCTGTACAAATAAATCCGTACATCAGCAATTCGAACTTATAGAAGAAGTGCGTAGACTCACTCAAACCATCCTCCCAAGCATACAACTCGACTTTCCAGCCCCGTTTAAGCGCCGTTCTAACCGGACCTGGATACATCATTTTCTTAGCCTCTTCTCCACAATCCATGAACTAGAATAGAAGACCCACCTATAAACCCGTCCTCACTAAACTGCCCCACATTCCCATCCCCAGTGGCCAGCACAATCGTCGACCCCTTGGGTACTTTATCCACATCCGCAAGCGCCTGGTGCAACTTGAGCTGGAGCAACTCGTCCACGCCTTGCTCGCGGTACCTGATCCTCGCCGGTGTCGTTGTAGCCGCTGTACTGCCCCCACCAGCAGGTGTGCCTCCTCCCGAACCCCCATCGACATTCGCGTGTGGGACGGATGAAGTTGATGATGATGAAGTGAGGTCTTTCTTGCTAGGGGATCCAGAGGCGGCATCGGATAGGGACGAAGAAGAGATACGCCGAGTGTGGCTGTTCCGGTGGGTGGTGGCCACGGCTGTACTGGCACCAGACGCCGTCGTCGTCGTGCTGCTAGATGGACTCGAAGGCCCGAACGAGACGTTGGGTTTACCCGTGTAGCCGTGTCCGTGACCGTACTTGGATTCTTTTTCCCTTCTGTCCATTCCGTCGCCTGTATGCGTAGACGTTATCAGCGTCATTGGAGAGGAGAAAGAAGAGAAAGAAAAAGGAGGAGTAGGACTCACCTAGATCAGGAACCCGGATGTACACCCTCACTTCATACCCTAGTGCTTGGATCTTGTCCATCGGTTGGTACAAAGGACTCGAAGTGACGACTACGCGACGAGAAACAGGCCTGCCGCGCTCCAGGATGAGCGCTAAAGCTGCATGCCAGAGGTGTCGAGGAAACTTTGGTTTCCTCGGTGGAATAGCCGCAACTGTCGCGGCTCCACCGTGACTATGTTCCTTGGAAGGATCGGAAGACGCTTGGTTATCAGAGTCAGAGAGTGCACCCCGTGCTAAACCCATATACGAAGTATTGGGTAGTGACTTTGAGAGCGAAGTCGTGCCGGTTCTCGGGTCGGATTTCTTCTTTTTCTTCTTGGACGTCGCAGCAGGCGCATTCGTCCCACCGGTACTCTGACCGAACGCAGCGGTGACCCACGAGGGCAGCGCGATAGGAAACGCGTCAGTCGGCGACTCGACGACGAGTGGTATCCCGCCCTCTCGTTCATCCCCTTCCTCGTCGTGTTTGGCGGATGCTGAGGGGATGGAGATTGGCTTCGAACTCGGTTTTAACGCAGTCACAGTCGCACTTGCTGACTTTCCTTTCGACTTGGATTTAGAGGACGATGACGCGGGTGCTTCGTTACTCGATCCCGCGGAACTGCTACTCGACAGGGCCGCATTGGCATGTGCCATAGACCCAGAACCTAAGCCTGAAGCATACTGCTTCGCCGTATTCCAATTCGTATGCGATGCAAGGTACTCCTCGACGATATGCTGAGGAGGCGGATGGCGCTTGAGGAAGTTGAGTAGGCCGATTAGGATGTTGGAGCTGTGGAAAGAAGATAGGCGGTCAGCTGATGATCATAATCAGGTCGTTGTAGAATGAATGAAATACGCACTGGTCAATGAAAACATGCACAATACTCGCACCAGGCGTATGCGCCGCACCAAGTATATCAAACTCGGCAGGGTCCTGCGGTTCTTCCTCAAATTCGAGGGCTGGCACTGATACACCACCACCACCTGAAGTAGTAGCAGACGCAGAAGACGAGCGAACATGCCCCTTCTTGGACGGCCCTTTGATCGGCGCAGTCTCGCCCCTCACCACGCCTCCCCCAACGGCAGCCTGACCCTCCCCAGCATAACCCGCCTCCAACCTCCCAATCACTTTATTCAGATCCCTCTTCTGCTCGGGAAAGGCGAGGAGGAGTTGTCGTGCGAGTCGAAGAAGACGCGAGCGCTTGGATTGGTCCAAGACGTCTTCGTATGACGAGTGAGTGAGGTCTTCGTATTCGAAGGATTTACCGCGTTCGATGGCGTTGTATTTGGATCCCGAACGGTAACCGTACGATGTTCCGTCGAGTTGGGCTTCGAGTCGGATGTTAGGGTAGGATTTGGCGTGGTGCAGGATGAGGGATTTGGACCGTTTGGAGCGTTTCTTGGAAGAGGTGGGTTCAGAAACGTCCTTGGTCTTCTCTTTATCCTTATCCTTGTTGTCTTTGGAGACTCTGACTTTCTTATCTTTCTTGTCTTTCTTGGCCTTGGGCACTTCAGCGCTGTCTGCTTCCGCGGTGCTTGAAACCTTCTCCTTCTCTTTCGTCTTGGCTTTCTTCTTCGCCTTCGCGCTCTTCACCTCGTCGCCATCCTTGATAATATCCTCGTCTTCATTCACAAAGGACTGGCCCTCGCTAACGAACAACCCCTCAACGCCGGTATACACACCCCGAATGGTCCCCACCGACCCCTGCGTCTTCAACCGCGGCGTTCTGGACCCACTCCGTAGCGATGGTGGAGGTTGGAGCAGGGAGTTCCCGGGTAGAGAGGAAGAAGAGGTCGAGTCGTACGACTCGTCGTGCGACGAATCTTCCGTCGTTCCGTGTGATTGGGATGAGTACTCATTATGAGACGTATCGTCGTAGTGCGGCGAGTCTGCACCGCCAGGAGCCTCTCCTGAAATCTCCGAAGAAAGGGCTAGCAATCGCTCAGCATCCCGCCTCGCTTTCTCCCTCTCCCTCTCCCGTCTACCCACGCGTTTACCCTTCTTCCCCGTGAGATTTATCGGCGGGAGGGGGTCGTCTTCTCCAAGTTGGTGTTCCTTGCCTGGAACGTTGTCGTCGTCGTAGTTGTTGTGGAATGACGGGATCACACCCTCCTCGCTTCTGATGATGTCGGCATCCTTGGAGCCTTCACCACCGGTGCTGGAAAGACCTCTAGTGACGAGCGAAAGCGACGTGGCCAAAACACCCAACGAATCAGCCCCAGACCCGAGTCTGCTGGACGTCGCAACACCCGAAGATGTAGCGTTAACATCCGAGACGGCGGACGTTGGGACGCCTTTGGTCTGGCCGGTTGAGAGCGTCGAAGTTGAGGTAGTTGGACGGGTGAGGATGGTTATTGAACCAGGGCTGAACTTGGTGGGTTTGGGAGGTTTTTCAGGCTTCGACTTGCCTGTGGATTTGACCTTCTTCGATGATTTGGATTTGGGAGTACTAGTCTTCGTTGAGGTACTTCTATCCTCCTCCTCCTGTTCATCCACCTCGTCTTCTTCTTCGACCTCATCTCCCTCGGCGTCATCGTCGTCGTCAGTTGTAGTGACATGCCCCAACTCTCCTTTCGCTTGAGAAGAAACAGAAGAGGGTGGAACGAGGAAGACGCCTCGGATCGTACTCGTCGATGAGGATTTGGAGAGTTGGGTTGGGCCTTGTTGTCGTTCTAGTTGATGTCGTGTACGGCCTCGTTCTGCTACTACTCCTTTTACCACGTCTTGTCCTGCTCCCTCGGGATCTACGTCGCCCGCAGGTTGACCTTCCCCATCGGCCTTACCAGCAGCAGTAGGAGCAGTAGGGCGTTTACGTCTACGTTTCTTCGTGGGAGGTTTCGCTTCCACTCCTCCTCCTCCTCCTACCCCTTCACCTAGTGCTCCTCCCTCTACTGCTCCTCCTCTCACCTCGCCTACTACTCCTCCGTCCGCTCCTACCTCACTTCCCTCCCCCTGCGATCCTCGAATTTTCTGCGCCTGCTGTCGGTGTCGGTGTCGTCGGTCTGGAAGATACGAATCATGATCAACCAATTGTCATTCACTGTGTTCAACTGTGTGGCCGGCCGGGTTTTATATGGTGACCAAAGGGAGATGTGATGTAGGGCATGCGTGGTCCAAATTACGTGCGGTCCAAAGGAAAAAAGGAAAAAAGGAGTGGGGTATTAGAGGTGCAGAAACGCGTAGTGCAGGAGGGCTGGGGGTAAAAGGAGGAAAGGAGGGATAAAACTTACCGGTGATATCTGAATCCGATGTATCCGGAGTAGTTGTTGTCGTCGTAGCAGCAGCAGTACTGCTAGTACTAGTAGTGGAAGCACACTTCTTGGCAGCCTCGAACCGCGCGCGTTCAGCTGCGATGAAGCTCAGTGCTTCGTCGAGGAGGCCGAGTGTTGGGTGCTCTGCTTCTGCTGCTGCTTCTTGATGGTTGGTCAAGTTGCTCGAGTGGGTAGGGTAGGCGTAGGCGTATGTGGATGTGGATGTGGATGGTGGGTCGTTAGACCTGGGATAGGTGTACGATGAACTCGAGGTGGAATTGGTGTCCTTGTACGACGCTCCGTCGGTGTTAGCGGTATACGGCGCTTTGTAATACGACCCAGAGGAATTGGAATCCTTGTTCCCATACCCAGCGCCAGGAGGATGAACATGACCAGAAGAACCCAAGGGATACGGGCTCCGATAGGACAATGTGGGAGGTAGGGAGTGCAGACCGAGCAGGGTGTGCGGGTGGCTCGTCGATGTACTACGCCCGGTTGTACTACGGCTTGGGCGGGTGACGTATGGTGAGGTACCTGACGTACCGGTGCCTGGGGAGATGGTGCTTCCGTTGGCATTGGTGTAGGCTGCGGTGCTTCCGTTGGGGTTGATGTTGGTGTACGTTGCGGTTGCGGTGCTGGAGGCAAGACTGGAGTAGGTATGGGTTGGGGTCAGACGGCCAGTACCACCACCACTGGCAGCTGGACCTTGTTTGCCGCCGTTGTGAACGCGGCTGGGTGTAAGACCCCCCGGAGTATGGACGTGTACGTGTCCGCTGGGAGTAAGGTGAGAACCCATCGCGTACCCTGAAGACGTATGCGTATGCGCGTTGGTGAGTGTGTCGCCTGATTTACGGCGTGTGGGTGTGCGCGCGTCCCATTCCTCCTCCTCTTCCTCTTCGTTGTTGTTGTCGTTGTAGGAGGAGGGGTTGTACCCTGTTGTTGTGGTAGGACGATCGGTGTGCCTGCCTGCACTGACACTTATTAGGGCACCGACATTTCCTCCTCCACCGACGTTTCCTCCTACACCAACACTGTTGGCTCCAGCTACACCTGAACGCGCATAACGCAACCCGTTTCGCGTGTTCCCGGCCAACGCACCCTCGTAGGGGAAAGCCTCGGAGCCTGACGTTGAGGTGGGGGTGTTGGATGGGGAGGGAGGCTCTGATTCGGGTCTGCGAAGTGATTCGGGGGTTCTGGTTAGCTCGCGGTCGCTGTGCGGGTAGATTGAAGATTGTGTTGGATAATTTGGGTATGATGTCGAAGAGGGCGGTGGGGGGTCATAGTCGTATGTAGGACCGTATCCTTTGGGCTGGGGATTATAGATCGAGGGAGGGTCGTACGATGGAGGAGTATAGCCGATACGGGAAGTGTATACGGATGTGTGGAGGGTGGGGCCGTAGACGGTCTGAGGTTGAGATTGCGGTTGGGGGTGTGGATGTGGACTGTACGTAGGTTGATTAGATAGATGCTGAGGATGACCAGTGCCATACGCAAGTCGCGGTTCAGGATGCGGGCCGTACACCGGTAACGCGAGCGGTAGGATTACTTCGGATGTAGCGGAGAGAGGCGTTGTGTCGGGTGGTTGGGTTATTAGTGAAGGTGAGGAGGATCTTGAGCCGGTGCCTGAACCGGAGGTGTGTGATTCGGATGAGGAAGATGAGTGGGAGGAGAGGGAAGAAGGTGGGTGGGAGGTTGGTGGAGGTGGAGCTGAGGCTGGGATGGAGGAAGAGGAAGATCGGGAGGCTGAGGCGGATTGGAGGAGGGAGCGGAGGGCGTCCTCGGCTGTTCCTATGAAACATCATATGTTAGGGTTAAAATTTGTATAGGAAAGGTAGGTAGGACGCACCGCCGTTGGTGATTCTATGACCACTACCAGCACTACTCCTCCCGGTGTAAACCTCACTGTTCATAGCGGTGGACCTGGATGACATTTCGTGGATTGGGAATAGGGAAGATGAGGACTTGGAGGATGGGGAGGGCCGGTTGGATGGAAGTAGGTCTCGAGGTGAATGAGATTGTGCGCGCCGGATTGTGGAGGTGGAGATGTCGTCTCGGTCGTTCGAGGGCACTAATATGTCGTTGGGAGCAGAGGCAGGTGAATAGAGCGGTATAGTTATTTCTGAGAAGGAAACGTCTGCGGGGTGATGATGATGGCTATCCAAGGATTGCAACGGATAGACACCTGGTGACTGGCGATAACCAGAGTGCGAGGCGGTGTCGATGGAGATGGAGATATTGCCTTCGCGGGTGGGCAGATTTAGATTCGGGTTATCGTTGTCAGTGTCGGTGTTTGTGTTGTCGAGCTCGAGGTCTGAGGAGATTTCGACTGTGCGGGAGGCGTCGTCGTCGGGCGAGTTTGATCGCCTCGAGTGACTCGTGTTTGAGAGTGGTGAGTCACTGCCGGGGCGAGAATGAGAATTGGATATGTTGGAAGGGTTGTTAGCGAGGTAGCGCCATATTGGCTGGTTCTCCCAGACTGTGGACGGTCGTGGATCGACTCCAACTGGAATTTGGTTATCTCCGTCGGGTCGGGAAGATGAATCGACTGTGGCGCTGCTGAGACCTGGGTGTGTGAATGACGAGATGGACGAGCTGGGGCGGTAGGACGAGATGTGTGAGGGGACGATGACTACACTCGACGACTCGGACGGAGATTGGGATTGAGGAGAGGAGCGGTCGCTGTCCACGTCGTGGTTTGAACTGAACCTGGAGGATCGTGACTCGCTGCCGCTGCCAGGTGCGGTGCTGATGTTGCTGCTGGAACTCGAGTGTGCACCGAGGAGGATGCGGTGGTGGTGGTAGGGTTGGAGATCGGTGAGTGCGCGCAGGACGACATGGAAGGCGCCTAGATCCGGCTCGTCGTCGGATGTTTCGAGGTCCGAGTGGGGGGCGTTGGTGGTCGAGTCTGTGCTGAAACTTGGGGAGATGGGGACTGTGAGGCGGGAGCTGGACGAGGAAGACGAGGGGCTGGTCGGCATTGGGGGGTTTGGGGCGAGTGATGGAGGAGGGAGAGGAGCAGAGCACGCAACGAGGCCTACGCGTGTTATCTTATCTCGAACATGCCTTTGGATTTTGTTCGTGGTAATTTACTAGTGATAATGTAGGGTATCCTGGTGAAGAGTTGGAGATGCGCACCTGTGGGGATCGAACGCGGTGCCAGGCGTGTTAATTACCCCACTTGACGCGTTATCACAACGCATCTTATCTCTAACCATGACACTCACATTCGACTACGTCGAGCCCGACCAACTCCAAGACGCGATCAACATCGAGCAGGATGGTACTCCTCTTCTATTATCTCTAGCCTACAGTAACTGACAACCCACAGGCTACCCCGCAGACGAAGCAGCCTCCCTCTCCGCCTTCCGCCTCCGCCAGTCCCAAGCACCCGATCTCTTCCTCGGCGCCTACATCGACGGCAAACTCGTAGGATACGTCTGCTCCACCCTCTCAAACGACGAGACCTTGACCGAGGAGTCGATGAAGAGGCATGTACCCGGTGGAAAGTCGGTCTGCGTCCATAGTGTTTGTGTGGATAGGGGGATGTGGGGGAAAGGCGTTGGAGGGCGCTTGTTGGGGGAGTATGTTAAGCGGGTTGGGGAAGCGGGCGTCAACAAGTACGAGAGGATTCTGTTGATTACCCATGACGAGCTCAGAGGGTTTTACGAAAAGGCTGGGTTTGAGTGGGTGGGAGAGTCGAGTGTTGTCCATGGTGCGAGGAAGTGGTACGAGATGCGTATCTTGCTCGACCGGGCACCACAGATTTCGCAGGATGTGTTGAAAGAGCTGTTGAAGCCTACGCAGAAGGAGGAACTGAGGACGCCGCATTTGGTTTCGTCGTCGTCTTCGCAGGTTCCCTCTTCGGCCCAGCAGAGTACTTCCCAGGAGCGGACCTCCCAAGAGAAAGCACCCAATTTCCTCTCGGAATTTAAAGATGCTTTCGAGGATCTTGTTGTGCAGCACCCGACGGACCAGGGTGTGCTGGTGAACAAGTATGATTTGATGTGTCCCCGTGGGTGTAGGAGTGTCATTCTGAAGAGGGGAGTGGGGATGTGGGTTGAGAGGAGTAGTGTTCAGGTGCGGTTTTCCCGTGATTGTGTGGTGAAGGGATAGCTGACGCGATGCTGTTGTGTGGGACAGATGGAACCACCAAATACACCTCCCCACCCCCTCCTCCCTCCTCTCCCCTCCCCGCCGACCACCACGAACTGGTGGCTCGTAACCGGCTCCCCGATGGTGTTTGAGAATGTGGGCTTCTCGAGGGGGGTCTTTGTTAGCGGTACGTATTATCCGTCTCTTTGTGGTTATCTGCGCTGATTGTTTCCTCGACCCTTCCTCGACTCGATCCGACGCGACGCGACGTGATTGGGCTCTTCTGGCTCTACCTCGACTCAAATAACTCACGCACCCGGACACTCCTGCACTGCATCCTCTTCGTCTTCATACAGGCTCAAACCCAGGCTCAGAATCGGGCACATCGACGCCAGCTAAACGCCTTAAATTGTTGACGTGTGCGGAGTGTGATTTGGGGCCGGTGGGGTGGTGTGAGGAGGGCGGGAGGGAGTTTTGGGTTGCTGTTGGGAGGGTTGGGTATAGGAGGGAGTGAGTTGGAGGTGAGGGGTGGGAGGGAGGCAGTGTAGAAGAGCTGTAACAGGGTCTTGGAGGGTATTAGTGGTTGGTTATCGACGTGACGTTGAATATCGGTTGTAATCTCATGAAATTTCCAATTCAAGTCGTGAGTTGTTTGTTTGACGTACTAGAACGCCGACTGGAATTATTTAAACAAGTCGCCACTACATACATACACCGCTGTAGTCTGCGGTCCCAGTCAAGTCGTAATCTAGGTTTTCTACGTGATGCACCCCCTATCTTCCTCGGAGTTACTTACCCCTATCGGTATGTACGCTGCGCGTTCGGATTCTGATTTGTGGGTTTTCCGTGGTGGTTCCGTGTGGTGGTAAAGTCAGGCTCGGCCCTGGCAGGTATGGGCTGTTGATATCCAAAGTGTTTTCATTTACGAGGGTGGGGAAGAGAAGAGGGAAGGGAGGGGAGGGAAGAGGTGGCCCGAATATATCCGAGGAGTTTCGTCGTTGCGGGTAGGTGGTGTGGTGGTAAGGATCTGTCGGGTGATTGGACATGGGTTCTTCGAACGGCAGGGGTAGGTAGGGACCATACCGTCTTACATCACGGCCGGGCTCAAGCTTGGTGCATGTATGTAAGGGTGTATAACATGACTCGATCTTCGGTTTTCGGATGGAGCATGTGTGTCTCACCCCATTACATAACATCACCCATAAGTAATGGTGCCACGTCGCGGATCATTCCCATCACCCAATGGCTCAACGGCGAGAGCTCTGCCTATGCCGGACGGCCATCACCAATGGGTGAGCTCTCGGCTAGCAGCCAACCATCACCCCTTGGCTGCGCTGTCACCCTCACACCATAACCGATGGCCCTAGCGCTGCGGTGCCTGCATGGGCTTCCCGATTTCGGTTGTTCACCGCCGCCATCAAAATCGCAACACCGCCGGTTTACTGCTGCGTGTTCCGCTTCCAACGGAATCCTGCGGACTGCGGCCCGACAGATTTCTTTGCCCGCCGCCTTGAGCACGTCAGCCCCAAACCCCACCACATAACACTTTTGGAACACGAGGGTGCCACGAGGCGCATTAACGCTTTGTAAATAAACGTCTTGTGAATTACCTGCAGGATTCTACGTTGATATGTCACCAGTTCCTCCAAACGAGGAGGACGTGGACCTCCTGGCCATCGCTGACCCCATGATCGCCCTCGACTACCTCCAAGAAAAGGCGACCTATTTCTATCAACTCTGTTTGACCAAATATACCGCACCCACCGAACCCCTGTCGCACCCAGATTGGCTGGACCTGACCGAAAGGTTGCAACTATACGCGGCCTCTGACCTCGTAATGGGGGCTCTGAAAAACCAAAGTGACTGTTTGCATTTGCCCTCCCGGAGTCCCCAGCTGCTAACTTGTACAACAGTCGTCATTGATGTAACGTTGCAGACCCTTGCTACGCAAGAAAAAAGTACACGGGCGGGCGATCCCCACTTTCCACCCAAGCAGGACGGTGTTAGCAGGTTGATTAGCGGACCAGTGCACATCTGCGACAGCAATGGCCGTGTCCTCTATTTTCACCTACCTAGGCTCCTTACAAATGAGCAATTAACTATCGTCGAAGAGGCATGCCGCGACCTGGTCAATGCACCGCACGCCAAGTTGGAGATTTCCCCCGAGAAAAAGTCTTGGCGGACCGACCCAAAGTTTTTTAAAGATGGCAACCTTTGCGACTTTACCCCGGGCGTTCTCAGTCTCTCGCCTTGCTGGTTCATGCAGAACCACCTGGTACGTGTTCTCATGGCAGGTTACTCAGAGCCGCAGCATACTCACCCAAAGCATCCCAGCCGCCGAAACACCAGCCTATGGTCTCCGCCTCAATCCGCCGTCGGGACGGAAAGGACGGGGCAATCCCGTTCCTAAAGGCTATGCGCAATGCGTTCAGTCTTATCGGCGCAATTTTATATGTTCTTAACCCGGCCCAATATGACCAGGGGGTCGATGCGTGGAGGAGAATGCTGGAAACGAATTGCGAGGCGGCCGCTCCGAAATATGCCGATTTGATGGCGGGGGTCTTGAAGATCTGGGCTTCTCCCTTTACTGTCACCCAGGTCATCTCCAATCGTCAAACTCCCTTCCACCTTGATACCTCCGGGGATCAGAATTGGTATGACTGCCTGTTGACCGTTGGGCCGTACAAGGGAGGGAGGTTTGAACTGAAAGGGGTCGGGTGCCGCTTCAGATATGAACGCGGCACGGTATCCTTCCTTCTTAGCCGATTGTTGGAGCACGGAACGGGGGAGGTTGATGGAGAACGGGTTTGCCTCGCGAGCTTCATGCGACCAGAGGTAGTCAAGTACATCCTGAAGGAGCGGTTTTACAGCACCCGCCCCGAAACCATCGCCACCTTGGAGGAACGTCTCGGGGTCCCAGCTGAGCATAGAGTTACAACTACCACCAGAGGAGTCTCTTCTTCTCAGATATAAATGCAGATACATTTACATACAGATACATTTACAGATACATTAGCCATTAGAATTGCGCCGATGCTGGGCGTGAGGATTGACCACCGAGCCAAGCGAATATTAGAGTTTCGAGGCGGCCGCCGCCGACAGGTAAAATAGAATTGCGGCGGGAACCGCCGGATAGAATTGCAGCGGGTTGGTTTCGAGGCGGCCACCGCCCGCCCGCAGGTAAAATAGAATTGCGGCGGGAACCGCCGGATTAAAAACAATAGAATTGCGGGAGGAGAAACAAATTTGAGACAGTAACTATGTAGATAAAACCCTTCGACGTGTCAGCGTAGCTTCTCTGTTCCCGATTTTGTACCAGTCCAAATACAGAGGGTACAGACAGATATCCGAAATGCGGTTCACTGCGTCTTGTAATCCCGGAATGACATGCTGAGCGGTATAATCCAACATGTCTGCGGCGCCATCGCGGTAGCTGGCAAGGTCCTGGACACAGAAGGTGAGAGCGTCGGCGTAGTCTTCTCCGTAGCCGACTGGCGAAACACGTGACTGAAGGTAATCGCAGTATGATTTCCACGCTGACATTGTTTTGTCGAATCCAAGAAGGGCGGTTGCCGCCGAGTGGTCGTCTGGTGCACGGGTGGTAGGTGAGTCGCCAGACAAACCCGTCGAGAGACCTGGGTCGCTGTCGACCACGTCCTAGCGGTTCGTTGAGCGCAACCGAGACAGCCTTTGACCATGCAAACTGCGCACCTTCCACCATGCTAACGGCATTGCCTCGTGAAATGCTTGAGCCTCCATCACCCAGCTTTCCGCCCGAGAAAAGTCTGGCATCCGCCCTTGTTCCACTTCATCAAACATCACGTCCCAATCTTCGATAAGTTTCGCCGTGAACCCGCCGATGGAAAGTCCAGTATGGAACATCCGTGATAGCCCCACAAAATGCAGGGCTTGGAGCTTGGAAACCGTCAGTGTTGTGACTTAAAAACTGGGCCAGACTTACAAACTCGTCGGTGAATTGAGTCCGACGCGCTTTCCACATGCCGCCAGTCTTATCCCGAGCAAACACGGTGAATGCCAGCTGGAGTCGGACGGATAGAAATTCATGAAAAGATTCCCATTCATCGGGAGACAACGTGGCATAGGATAACGGTTTTGGCATAATGTGATACAGAAGAAATGTACAGGGTAGCGTTCGTAAAACACGGTGGTTGTGGGTTATGGATTAAGTCAGGAGCCGGGCACGTGCTTCCGTTGATTTGCCCACGCCAAGATATCCTGCAGCACCGCCGGGCTCAGGCCATGCTCGGCCAAGCCCTGCAATCGCGCCTTCTGGCGACGGCGGTCTTCCTCGATCCTGGATTTCACCAGCAACGCCTTCCAGCGACAATACATGTTCACAGCTTTGGCGATCTCGCGGGCGGTGATTTGAGTATCTTTCTTGACCAAGATCGCACATTGCTCGATTGATTCCGCGCATGCGACCAGTTGCTTGTGGCTGAGATCGGAGAGACGGTTGCTGGGAAGAGGGAGTGGATCGAGTGGGAGTAGGAAATGCCTCTGGTGACGAAAGGTTCGGGCGATGAACGACACGTTGCTAGCGTCCCAGTTCTTGGATGGATCAAAGGGTCTCCACCAATTACATTCGTAGTGTGCTAGAATGCGGTCGGGGACTCGGCCATGCGAAGGCTTGCAGGCGGCAAGTATTTGCATCGGGTCACCCTGCTTGAGGACAGTGAGGAGGGTCACCAGCTCCCGGTGCGCCTCTCCTGGATTTATCTTGGGGAAACGAGTTGCAGCGAACCCGAAAAGGGTGGTGTGCCAAACCTGCATCGCGTTAGTGATATCCCGGCGGAAATCCGTGTTTATACTCACAATCTCTTCATAGAAAATTTTAAGAAATTCCGCTCGTTGGTTCATGTCTAAATCGGCAAACATGTGGGCATAAGCAGTGCCTGCAGCGCGTTGTCGGGAGGATAGGTAGTATAGAAATTGCTGCATGGTGGCGCTATCGTAGTGGTCCAAGTCGGCGAACATATCAGTCACGAGCTCAGGCATGTTTCCTGGGGGACTGTACTTGTAGTCCATGATGGCTCTGAACAAACGTGTAATTACCCAACTGGAAATTTGACTACCAGCGTGATCGATTATGTAAGAGGCGGTCCCTCGTCTTGGGGCGGATCACAAAATGGACTAAAAGCGGCGGCCGCCTGATAAGCAAGTTTCCGCCAGGTCGCCGCTTGGTACCTCGCCGCTGAACGCGGCCCCATGTCATTACCACTCGTGGCCAAGGAATCCCAATGTTTGGCCCGATTTTCCATGAAATTAACGGTCCATCCCATCTCTGCTTTCACCAAGTCTACCTCCTCTTGCCACCTCTTTAAGCGAGACGTTGTTCTAAGCCAATTCAACCTGCATACTAGAAAAGGGTCAAACGGCGCCGGAGGATACAGATGTAGGTACACACTTTCCAACAGGAATTCAGGGTTTGTGCTCTGTCCATGGTGCTTCCAACCCCAAATCCAACTGACCACTTGGCGACTTTGACCCGGTGCGTTCGGTTGATAAACCGACTCTAATGGCTTGGCATCCCCTTTATTGAGCTTTCGATAGGTCTCCCGAACGGAGGCGTCAGCGGTAAGCTGCCAGATCGCCCATTGAGCTTGATTGTAGATCCTTGTGCTTCTCTGGATTGCTTTCTCCGCAGACGCCACTGCAGCATAGCCCCGGGTTTTCTGCGCTTTATTCTGGGCCAGTTGGATGTTAGCCTTGAACAAGAAGGATTTGTAGCCAACCTGGGTCCTTAGGTTAGCGAGTGCTTCATCAGCTTGAGCTTTCCGCAACTCTAGTTCGGCGACCTTGGCTTCTTCAGGCAAGATCTGAGATCCCGCCGGCTCAGATGAAGGCATGAGCACCGCCAACCTCTCAAGCGGCCCTTTCGGTACCGCCTCGAACGGATTGAAGTCCATCCCCGAGTGGCCGCATGGTGTTTGTTCACAGTCGCATGGCTCTCTAATTGGAGCGTGGAGAAATGCCGAGCGGGGATCTGCATCATTGCGCTGAGATAGACGTGGAAATAATTGCAGTCCTTTCTCGAGATGTTGGTCGTGCTTCGCTTTCAAGGCCGCCCGCTTCTTTTCTAACTCAAGCCTTTGGTCATCTGTCGGAGTTGAGCCCAACTCCTTGGCGGCGGATAGGACATCCATTCTGTACGTATATCAGTTGAGGAAATGTATAATGTGAAAGGACCCCCCGCACTGTAACTCCTGAATCATCATGCCGTCATGCACCCAGGACGTCAATCCTACGTGGCGACTTTGCTTGAGCTCATTGGTTATCAAACTGGCCTCGATAGCCTTCCGGGATGGTGCTACGGTCGATCAGTTTCGTTCAATGCAAGAACACTGAGTACATACCTTTGTCAATTGTGGACATTAGAATATCCATGGCTTCGGGATGGTGCTTCTCCCGCTTCTTCTGAGCGTCCGCCAACTGCTGATCCCATTGTTCCCGCTGTGCCGCTGAAGCTGAGCTTTTCAGCATCTCCACAGCATCTAACAACTCTGATAAATTTTCATAAGCCTTTTTGAGCGATTTAGGAAGGGTTTTGTCTGAAAGTCCGTCAACTTGTGCCCTTTGCGATACAACACGGCAGGCGGACCCGCCCTATTTCGCGGATCGGTCCCGCCCACATAGCCGCTCCGAAACGGCGCCGACGTGTAAGCCGCCCCGATCCATCATTCGGGCGGGTCCGCCTCGAGAGACTTACAAAGATTCGTCATTTTCTTCCAGTTCAAGTCCATCATCTTGCTGTCTAGAACCTCCATGCGGTGCGCCTCGGTCATTGTACTCGTCATCGTCCCTGTGGAGTTTAGCAGAGACCAATTAGGCTCTAAAATCTCCCCGTGATTCCAGCCGATACCGTCGATGTAGAGGGGAGAGAACCGCGGAAGGCATTTCTCTTGATGTCCGTGGACATGGCATTGACCGATAGAGAATATCATGCGGTCATACCATGGCAGCTTGATGGTGTCATTGTATGCCTTGACGCGTGCGGCTAGGTTTTTCCAATACTGACAGCAAATGTCATAAATGAAGATAATGCGTTGGACCTTTGGAGAGACGACCGCCTTCAATCCTTCACAGAGAGCGTAATCCATATTCATCTGTCGTTCCCCTTTCTGGAAATCGACCACCGATGAAGGTACGAAGGCTCCATGCCTAGCGCAAGCCAGAGCGCCAATACCGGTGGCATCGTAACCCTTGTGCGCTTTGTTCTTGTCGGCGACGGCTCTGTGCTCATTACAGGTAGAAGCCTAGCCGACGAAACCATTTGAATGTCTCTCATCTACGCTCCAAATCTTTGAATACTTACCTCAGTGTTCTCGGTAGCGGAAGCGAGGTGGTGCTTATATGCTCTACTCTCCACAAAATAACCTCCGCCTTGCTTGAGGAACAAATCTTGTCCTGCGCCCTTTTTACTTTGCCTGACACAAACAAAGTTGCCGTCGGCTACGAATGACATGCTGAACTTCCATCTCCAGCCACATTGGCATGTCAGAAAAAAATCGTGATGATGAAGTCGGTCCCACTCACTGCTTTTTGTCTTGCTCCCAGTTTTCCTCCAAATTGACATCCGGTTGCGGACACGCCGCGCAGAACAGGGCCATGCTACCAGGCTTTGAGGCGGCCTCCCTGGTCGTATATCCAAAACGAACCAGCTCTTGCAAGTGACGAAATTGTCTTGCCGCTCGTAAGAGTTCACGATGACGATTCTTGCCGAACTGTTAGTACTATTGAAAGACCAAATTGGAGCCACTCACAGGGACAGCATCGGGAAAGTCTGGGTTCGTTAGTCGTCTCAGCTTACTGAAGTATTCTCCCGCCGAAGTGCAGCATTCCAAGACCGCCAGGTTGTAGTCGCGGAGCAGTTGGAAAGTGAATACTGTTTCCACCGATTTATATGTGCTCGGGTACAACCCTGCGATCAGGTATTGTTCGTCAAGTGGAACCGCGCCAGGACATACGCAAGGATAAGCCACTAAGCGGTGGACACCGTTGACGTGAACAATGACGATCTCCTGGCCGCTGCCATGCTTTCCATGCTGTGGACTTGACCCGAACGTGAAGTCGGCGTAGTTATTCCAGTCGGATTTGGCTGACGCCAAATACTGTTCGTTGGGGTGGGTGATTGGCGACTGATAAGGGACCAGAGGACAAGGCTTGCCACCATGCCCCAGGAAGATGGCCACTCCTAGTTTCCACAGCCAGGAAGGTTCATAGAATTCCCCTGTCCATAACTCCACACGATGGAAAAGGTGGTGGGCGGAATGTATTTCCCGGCAACAATCCGAGCAAAGAACGGGACTGCCGAAGCATGATGTGCACCTCCATATTGCGTCCTGTGTACCACAAACAGCGCAACATCGATCGTCGGCCGCAACGGTGGAGCTGTAAAGGTGCTTCAAGTAGATGTTTATCTGCGGCTCCCACTGGAGCATATAATCATAGTTGCTCTTCCCCCATAAACGGTGTTGGTTATCTTGATTTGAATGATTGCAAGGAAAAGACATACATTTTCAACGACAGGTTCTTCCGTATTGCCCCAGCCACTGGCAAAGGAATTAGCTGGATCAGAGGGGTGTTCCTGCTCGTAGTAGAGCTTTTCAACCCGGCGGCGTTTGCCTACAGGAGTCGGTATATCGATGATAGGTTTGGGTGGGAGTGCAGTCAGTCGGTGCTTGGTTCCTCTGCTAGTATAGACCTCCACGAGCCTTCCTCCAATCGGCCCATCCTTAATGACAGACTTCTTAGTGCGCTTCGTCATCCTGGAGGCTGGAGGGACGATATACGACGAGTGTTGGAACAATTACCGCCCCAGATTATCGATATGAGGGTATGCATGTTGGCCCGGCCCGAAAATTGATTTCCCCTTATGGATTGGCCGGCGGGGGACGAACAGTATCCAAGCATGGCGGAGCTTGGTGGAATAAGTTACCGACTCCCCTGACGTGGCGTTCTACCCCACCACTGTTCACTCTCATTGACATGGCACCTGGAAAGCAACACGTACGCACCTGGACTGAAGACCAGCTCAAGGTCCTTAACGACGCCAAGCGGGAATTTCACAGCGCCGACGCTGTCAAGCGGCAGGCCGTCGCCGACGCCGCCGCAATGGAAATCCAAGCGGCATTGGAGGGGGTAGGTGAGCGGTTGGATAGCAAGGCTAGTCAGGCTCTCTTTACTGTAGGTGCTCGACCCTTCGTCGCCAAAGCCGACTTTCTCACCACACTGTAGGCTGTCCGTGGATGGTTGAAGGCGCGGTGTAAAGCAAAGCGGAAGGCGGATGCCGTTACCTGGAAGGGCGTGAAGGCGCGCAACGTGTTCATTCGACACAACCGCCGCTCTATTAAGGAAACGCAGAAAGCTTTGTATGAGCAGGGTACAGGCGCTATATTCCCATACCCCGTGGCTACATTCGTTGATACACCCTTGCCGGCCTTGGACGAAAAGGACCTGGCGTTCCTGGAGGAGAATGAAATAAACCCCGACGATCCTGAACTCGATGCTATATTCGGTCTTGACGACGACGACGACGGAACGGGTGAGGAGGAAATCGGTTCATCCGATGACGACAGTGGTGACGAAGACATCAGCCGCGACGGGGACGAAGACCGCCAGCAGCCCGTGAAGACCAAGACCAGCGCAACGTCAACCAGAAAACGTGGCGGTAAGAGGGCCAAAGCCTCAGAGACGACACCATTCCAGAAGACTAGCAATGAAGTCTTTTCGTACTTTCAAGATGCTGTGTCGCAACTTTGGAAGAAGCTGCCCGCCGAGGAAAAGCGACGGTACCGCCTTCGAGCGTTTATCAACAAAGAGCGGGGTCCGAGTGTTGAGGAACAGGCAGAGTGAGTCATTGTCGGTTTGGTATCACGGGGGCAGTAGCTAATGCTTAACCAGGATGGCTGACAAGGAGCTTCCTTCTTGGTTAGAGGGAGTTGCTGCGCAGGGGCTACAAAAATACAACGTCCGCATGGTGTTCACCGTGGTGTTTCTGGATAAGAACGGCGTCATGAATATCTGGACCTCCGATTACAACAGCAACCTTGGAGGGACCAATTTCACCGACATCCATCCAAGACTTTTTGAAGACAGTGGTGTTAACACTGCCGTTGGAGCTTGGGGTCGGAGGGAATTCGGACAGGACAATGCCCCCATCAAAATCATCTCAAAGCGGCAGGGGGCTCACACTCTTATGAACTTGCCCTCAGGATCGGAAGGTGTACGCTTGGTGGACCCCACCAAGCCTCCGATACCTCCCGTTACCAAGCCGTGGTTGATGGATTTGATCAGGTCGTACTTCACTCATAAATATGGTGCGTTCAATCCTGAATTATAGAAGAAAGGCGTACTAAAATTCCGACCTAGTCGAAGCTTCCAATGCCAAAGAAAGGGTCAAGTGTCCATGGGCGGATATTGAGAAGGGACCATCCCGCTTCTTTGACTGCGAAATACTGCCCACCAACTATCAGGCGATGATTCGCGAGCCGTCAAGGATGACAGTGGCTGAATTGAAGGCCGTGCTGGGCTATCTCTACACGCGGCAAGAACGTGGCACCAAACCGCCCTTCCGCTTTGACTATTATATCGACAAGTCGGGCCGTACCGTCAAGATGGTAAGGTCCCACCAGCTGAGTGGGCAAACCCTTGACCGGCCAAGGCCGATTCACGCTCCCGCCACCCGCCCTGTTATAAAAGCCGCGCCCAGCCCCGACCCGGTGCCCGACGCAGCCTTCGAGCCCGCCTTGGAACCAGCCTTCACTCCGCCCCCGGTTCATCCTGCCACCAAACCCATTGTCAATATCGCCACAAAGCCTGTCGTTAACACTCCAACGCGTCCTCCAATTAATGTGGCTACCAAACCTCCCATTAACACCGCCACTAAACCCATTGCCGCCCCCATTAACACCGCCACTAAACCCACTGCCGCCCCGATTAGCAGCCCCGCCAGCGTTGGTGAAAGGTTCACTGCCCCATTTACGCCGGTCACCCCATCCGCAACATTGCCGGACATAGAGGAGAAGCCCGACTCCGGTGTCGCAGATGACACCTTGCCTACCGTTACCCAAACGCTCGAACCCGAACCAGCCGCACCTCAACCAGCCGCACCTCTTGCACGTCCGAAACCAAGGCCCCGTCCCTCAGGTAAGCCGTGGACTCCAGACCAACCGAGACGTTCAGCTGCAGAGCTGGTGAGAGCTCTTGGAGGATCACCATCCAAGCTCAAGATCCAACCTCCCATCCCCTCCGCTGAGCCAGGGCCATCTTCAACAAAGGCGGTTGAACCGCCCTCAAAGAAGTCTACCAGGAAGCGCACGAGGGAAGGCATCGAACTGCTCCCTTTGCCGACAGACGGTGTAACTACGAGATCCCGAGGTGCCCTTACCCAGAGGAAAACCAGGAGCAAGAAATAGATACTCATCAGCATAGTTTTCGTTTAAGTACAATTATTTCAGATTCAAAAAAACTTGCAACGAAGTATAGGATTATTCTATGAAATATATCTAGTTCTAGTATCTAGCTCTTTTTTTGTCGCTTGGACCGCCGGGCTCCAGTGGCTGCCGCACCTGAAGACTTAGCCTGAACCTGGGTGGCCTTCCGTCGAGTACCCGCCTGCATATCCTCTAGGTCATCTGGAGGGGGGGACAACGGTGAGTCGGGAACCACGTCATCAGTATCCGGCGAGGTTTCCCCCGACTCGCCACTAGCGGCGGGGAGAAATGGCGGCGGAACAGGCGGAGACTTTGATGGAGCGGAACCGACAACTGAGGCGGAAGGCGGGGCGGTCATTATCGCGGCGGTGTGATGAATCGAGGCGGTACCCGTTAAAGGGCGGAGTGGAACAGAGGCGGCAACTATATTGAGGCGGGTCAGGTGAGGCTGGCGGTCAGGGATGGGACTAGTCGCGCGGTGGGTGAAATTTGGTGCAGCGGGGGCGGGAAGGGGACTCGTGCCTCGACTCACTACCGGCCGAGACTCTGCGGCTGAACTTCCTGTAGTTGGACTCGTCCCTCTTTCCACCAATGCGCGGCCGTGAAGCCCTCCGACCCTGTCGAGTACCGCCTCGAGCGTGCTCTGGTTGACCGATGTAGTGAGGTGATCCCAAATCTCGTCACTGTCCCCCTGTAACCCATGGCACCACTGGTCCAGTGCTTGCAACTCACGTTCCGCATCCGCCACCCTACCCATGAGCTCCCTAACTCTGCCCTCCACAACGTAAAGACCTTTGAGGTCCCTCTTGGCTTCTTGCTGGAGCTCTTCTGCCTGGCGTAATGCATTGTTGGAAGTCCGATTCATGGCCTCCACTTTGGCCTGAAGGTCGGAATTGTTGGCCACACCATCCACCTTGTTGGTGAGTTCGTTCATCCTCTCCTCAATGCCTTCCATGCGCGCCTCATACGTCTTCATCCGCTCCTCCCAGTTGCGAACCAACGCCAGCGTGCTGTCAGTCGTTTTCTCAAGTCTGGCCTCGCGTTCGTTGAAGTCCTTCTCCAGGAAGGTGATCTTCCGGCGGAGCTCATCGAGTTCACCGCGACGAACGGTGGGAATACGAGCCGTGTCTTCCAACCGATTCACAGCAGCAGTCAGACCGCGAATGCTCGAGTCCGCCTGGTTCATTCGACCTTCGAGGGCGTCTTGCTTCGAAGTACAGCTCACTAGGTCGGCCACGAGATTGCCGGTGGGTAACTCTGTCTGATAGGCGGGCACTACTGTGGAGTCGGCGGGGGGTGTCATCGACGGTGGGTTGCTGAAAACCATGGGTTGGGCGCTTCGTGGGTGATACAAGGGGCCCAGTTGTTTGGTACCGGCGTAGACAACGTCTATATTCGACGGGCCAGACGGCATTGCCGTGACCTCCACAGGATCCACAGGTGTGGTGGGCTTAGACCCCTTGCCTGTTCGTTTCGTCGACTGCTTGGCCTTCACCCCCGCTTTTGAACGGTCGACCTCGGAGGCGGGCGCGGACTTTGCATTGTCCATGCGCGGTTTCTTTGCGGCGGGAGTGTTCTCTGAATCGGCGGCGGTGGGGGCACTGCTGTCGACGTCGGAGTCTTCGATGTAAGCGGCGCTCTTGCGCTTGGTGGACTTCTTGGCCGTCGAGGCTTCTTGGTTGCTTTTCGGGAGGTGGACGGAGGGGTCGTCGGGGGCTACGGCGCTCTTACGCTGGCGACCGCGCTTCAAAGCCAGGGCGAGGGCTTTGACGGCGTCACCGTTGAGAAACCTTTCGCATTTCTTCTTGCCATTAGCACAACGAGGACAGCTTCCACTGCCGGGAGGTGTACAGGGCGGGTCCAGATTGCCTTTCTCGAATTTTTTGCCTAGCGCTTTCGAATGTTGGGCGAGAGCCTTGGCTTTCAAACAGCGGTCGCAGAGAACGAATGCGGACCCAGTGCCTGAGGAAGAGCCTCCACCAGGAGTAACGGAAGTTGTGGCTGCAAAGGAAGGAAGTTCGTTAGTGTTAAAGCGCTATTAGATCTGAACGAAACATACCTCGTTTGCGCGGGGACCGTCTAATAGCCGCGACTCCCTGGTTGCCCTGATGCTCCCCACATCCATTGCCATCTTCTAAGACCTCCTCCTCCTCATCTTCCTCCTCCTCCTCCTCCTCCTCCTCCTCCTCCTGTTCTCCCTCCCCGCTGTTTCTGTCGTAGTCGACAGTACCACCACCCTCGTTCTCTCTTTCCTTTCCTTTCCCTGTGGAGATACCTCTCTCGTTGTCCTTTCCACTTGACGATGCCACGGGCAGGGCCGATTGGTGGGCGGGTGGAACCGAAGAACGCGGAGGCATCCGCCATCTTGTGATAAAGTCAAGGGTTTGGTCGATATACGCGCGGGGGTGGTCCTTGTCAAACGGATCGAGAAACGTGGGTGGGTCGGGTTTGACGTCTTTCAAGAAGGACGGGTCGATCGGGGTTCCGGGCTGGCGCAGTTCAGGACTGGCACGAATCTGGTCAAAGAGGGCTTTGATGGGGTGACCGGCATAGAGGGGACACGTCGACGGGATCGTATTACATATTTTCTATTATCGTCATTTTCCTTTGCGTCAATCAATGTGATCCTAGAACTAGCTGTGACATTACGCACCACAAGACCCATAACTGCCCGTCGAACCTTCTGCGGCCAGTCTTCATCCTGAGGCCAATGCTGGTAATTATTCAGCAGGGTACGAAGTCGTTGAAGGGCGGGTCTGAAGATTTCACGCAATTCTTCGTTGGTGAACGCAGATACGGAGGGGGTGATAGTTGCCATTGCACTATGTCAAGAGTGGTGTCGTTGCTGGTTGCGGACAAATTGTTCCTACAAGTTGTCGCGTGCGCGCAACCGATGGGTCACGTGACTGTCGGATATAGCCGACTCATTTTGTCCCCGCCTTGATTGTTTTGTCCCCGCCTGTTCATCGATCTCGACATCTAGCATTATGGACGGCCCTAGGCGAACGGCGGGTAAGTTTGTCAAATCATTAGCCTATCACTTGCTCTTAAATACCAGGTATAACCCTACTCAGATGATTCTTCTATGCTCGCCGACGGAAGCAGCGCGATGGAGGTGGAGGTCCCTGATGACCTCCGCTTTGTCCCATTCGATTATGACATCGACGAAGGAACTGCCCAACAAGAGGAGCAGGGTGTAGAGGAGGTTTGGAGGACATTCAGCACCCAAGAAGCGGAGGGTCCCCCTCCCTCTCAGTCGTCAACTCCAGTTCCCGCCCCGCATGTCAAAGGATCGGTCGGAACCCCCCAACCTGAAGGTAAGCATCCGTGGGGAGGAAGCCTACATAGATTCATCTAACATTTATTGCTTAGGTAGTGGAACCGTTAAGGCTGATAAGGGGAAGCAGAGAGAAGGGTGGGCTCCATTCGCCGATGAGGCGGCCGCCATCGCTTGGTTTTCTAGCCTACCCGAGGACAACGCCGCTTCCCTCATGCGCGCCTACCTCGCTAACAACGTTGCGGTGTCGGGGCCGCCTCATCGGGAAGCATTTCCGAAAGACAGCAAGTTCCCTTTGGCCGCCGCGCTCAAGTCCTCCCGGGAAGAATCGGCGCTGCAAGCGGGTGCCAGCGCAAATAAGGAGATGGAGGAGATACTCAAAGGTGTCGTCGATTCGATGCCCGAGAACATCCGACAGGAGATCCTCTCTGACGATTCCGAGTTAATCTGGAACATTCCGAGCCTCGAAAGCGCGGGCATGTCAGCCGATCTCATTGACGCTCAGCTGAACTACATGTCATCGTGGTTGAGCACTCTCGTAAACCACTACATGCACAACTGCGAGGTTCACGAGAGACTGGAGGATCACCTGAGGGCTGTGAAAGCAGCCTTGGTGCTCAGGGAACAGAGCACCGCTCTTTCCAACTCTCTGCAAGGCTTATGCAACCTGTATGATACTTAGACGAGTCACGACGCATTTGTTCCTTTTTGTTCCTTTGAAATGTTCATATTGCATTGAATCTTTGCCTACTAAAAGATTGCTGAGCGGTCCATATTGGTCCCGGCGGAGTATATCGTTTTGGTGGCGGGTTTGAAGGCGGGATCGCTAAGCGGCGGTTTGGGTCGTGGTGCTCTGGCCATTCGGTTATGGTGGGGGCCGAGACAGCGCAGCCAAGGGGTGATGGTTAGGTGCTAGCCGAGAGCTCACCCATTGGTGATGGCCGTCCGGCATAGGCAGAGCTCTCGCCGTTGAGCCATTGGGTGATGGGAATGATCCGCGACGTGGCACCATTACTTATGGGTGATGTTATGTAATGGGGTGTGTGTCTGGGAGATTTAGAGAGGGTTTTCGGCATTGTAAGTAAGAAGTTTTCGGTATGTATATAAGGGGTGGTGTGTGGACCCTTGGGTGGGGAACGACTGTGTCTGTGACGCTCAGGCTCCTGGTGATATAGGCATAGGCTTAGGCTTAGGGTGAGTAGAGCTCGAGGTGTTATTATCGTTTTTTACGAGTCCGTAAGGAGTCGTTTCTATGCTGCTCGATTTTGTGAGACTTCATTTAGGCCCGTGGGACTTTTCATGAGAAGCCTTCATTTCGCCCATTTGATGGACAGCCATTAACATTTAACATTAATGGGTTCGTTGACAGCTGTCACTGCAGCACTTGAGATAAGTAGTGAGACTTCATTTAAGCCTGTGCGACTTTTCATTTCAATTTTGACGGTTTGATGGACAGGTGGTGGTCCTTTAATTTCAACATCTCCTTTATTTCACTTATGTTGGCCTTACACCTTCCGACACTTTCGTTCATATAGTCCGGTTTATAGGGGCAGTTAGACATATGATGCAATAATTTGTGGTCAGTCGCTTTTTATCAGGACATTCTATGACATCATCCTATGATTATAGATAGGAGTCCCAATTCCGTTTTGGACTGGGCACGGCAAAGTGGCAGTGTTGATGGCATTGATGTCATCAAAATGCTCGGGTTTTTCCTCACTAGCCAATAGGGGCTGCCGGTTCAATCCCTAAGGGCACAATTCATTTCACTTATAATTATAAGTTATGTACAATATTTTGATACATCCATTATGGTAGTGTAGCTTGACTCTATTAGACTGTTAAATTCCGAGGCCTGTCAGGACTCGGTTTCTTTTGCGCGGGATTCGAAGGCGCCAAGACGCGACGCTCGCAAGCCACGTGATGTTTGCCGAGGTCCCAAGTTCGATCCCCCTCAACACCTTTCCTTTTTGTCGATTATGGTTCTTGTTTTATTTTTGTACCCTGGGGTCCTGGCAGGCCTCGGTAAATTGCCGTTTAACGGCCCGCATCCCGCTAGTGTATTTACAAGAGAATATATATCAATGGCTCTAGCCTCCAATAGGCATTCTTCTGGGCGCGAGCGCGAGCGTGCCGAAGGTGTGCGCCAGCGAGCGCCATCCACAATCCACCATGGTACAAACGGACTCGTAACCTGCCAGGAGCCTGCGAGTTGGCCCACAGATCAAGTGTTGGTGGATGTGGCTGACGGTTCTTTGGTATACTCAAGCGTATATTTGTGAACATACTATACTACTTGTAGCTTCGACTTACCTCCCAGTCTACTAGAACCTCACATCACCCGATTCCGAACGTACCTTCCTCGTTACACCAACGTACCTTCCTCTCGACGTCACAGCAACGATGGGCCAGTTCTTCGAAACGATCCCGCCGTGGCTTATCCCTTGGATAGAGAGCCAGAAGATATTCTGGGTGGCGACTGCGCCGCTGGATAAGGAGGGACATGTGAACGTGAGTCCGAAGGGCTGTTTTGGGCGGACGTTGGGTGTTGTTTTGGAGGGGGATGACCCGCTGGCTGTGGAAGGGTCCGATAACGAGGGTGGTGGGGGGAATAGAGGGCAAGGAGAGGAGGATTGGAGTAAACTGGAGGGTGTGTCGGGTGGGAAGTTTGTTGGTGAGACGAGTGCGAAGAGGCATTCGAGGGCTGTGTGGTATGAGGATTTGACTGGGAGTGGTGAGTTCGTTCATTTCTTGTGTTGTTTGGTTTGTGTTCTCCTGAGGGGAGGTAGAGAGAGCTTCAAAGGCTAACGTGAATTTGGTTCGGTAGGTGTGGAGACTATCGCGCATCTGAGAGAGAATGGACGGATAACGCTGATGTTGACTGCGTTTGAGGGGCCGCCGAGGGTTTGTAGGTTGTTTGGTGTTGGTGAGTGACATTTCGCCTTATTGAATCTTTTGTTCTTTTTTTGCCTGTGTTCCCGATGCGTTGTGAGACTCGGACGAGAGTACGGGCGCTTAGTAACTCGAGCCCCTGCCTTCCGCGCTTCGAGGGAACACTGAAATGACTAATGGACGGCTCGGAATGGGGACTAACCATGGGCGATTGATTAATATTATTTTCCAGGCAAAGTATTTGAATTCGGAACACCGGAGTATGATCGACTTTTACCGCCTCAGAAGCGCCAGCCGGGGTCGAGAGCTGTGATTTGGATTGATGTGCATCGGGTGGGGACTGTGAGTGCTCGTTTCTTTGTTTCTTGAGTTGGGTTGCTTGTTTTCAGGGGGAGTGTGGGGGTGGTGTCGGGGGTTGAAATGAAGGCTCAGGCTGGTAGGCGCTTAGTGCCGGGCCTCTTTGGGGATGGTGATGGGCGCTTAGGCTTTGATGGCGAAACCTGGATTTCTTCTTCGACTTGTACAGACATAGTGAAGGGGGAGCCCGAGGGCTGACTTGATTTGATTTGGCTTATGCAGAGCTGCGGATACTCGATCCCGTTCTTCGAATTTAAAGCTCCGCGCGTGAGGCTGCACAAGTTTGCGCTGAAGAAGGAGCAGGAGGATGTTGATTACGCTCGGGCGTGTACGAACGGCAATGCTGGGGAGGATGGGGCTCCTGGTGGTGGACCAGATACCATCAATCCAAATGCGGATGCAGGTGCTACGACGACGAATGGGACCGAGATAGGGATGACGGATAAAGGCCTATTGGCGTACTGGAAGACGCGGAATGCGACGAGTCATGATGGGTTGCCTGGGTTGGACGTGGCGTTTACCGTCCACCCTGGAAGAATGGGTGATTGGCAGAACGATGGGACGTTGGAGGGGGCGAAGTGGGGTGGGTTGGTGGATGATGAGAGTGTTAAGAGGGATGTAAAAGGTGATGATGGGGGTAAGGAGGGAAATGATAGATCAGGAGGGAGTAATGGAGGTCGAGGTGGGTGGGGAGGAGTTGGACCCTCGCCGTTTGGAAATTTGGTGTTTGGGTTTGGAGTTGGTGTTGCGGTTGGGTTGGGGTTGGCGAGGGTGACGAGTAGATGAGTTCTATGATTAGGTGATTAGTATTGGACTGTTTATCAACAATGTAATGAATATCAGTGAATGTCTAGTATTTCCTCGTTCCTCACTTCTGCCGGTGGGCAAAAGTCGCTGAGTGTAGGAACTTTGCAGGAGGTATGCCGCCATGCCGAAGCAACTCCAAATCGTGGGAATGATGCCGAGCAGTTCACACTTCACAGCCCTGTGGGCGCTTGTTCTCAGCTTGATCCAAGGTTGCTCCCAAACCAACGCTATCCCCTCATCCACATCCTGTGGCGAACCCAAACTCAGTGAAGGGACCTCGTTTCTTCTAGGGTGGAAGAATGGGGCAGTTCCTGTCAGCATCGGTGAGGAATTTATTCGCCCATAATCTCTGGACGATGATGTTGATAGATCGAAACAGCGCGCTGCTGGAGGAGATGGAGGGAAGATGCCAGGAACCTGTACGATCGGGTTTTTTCTCAAGGGTACCTCACCAATTGACACACCGAAATGTAGACGACTTTGAGAACGAAAGCCGCTCGATGTTCGAGAATGCTCGGAATGTCAACATCCACGGTGGGGTCTTCCACCAAGGAGACGTACATGTGCAAATCAACAACTATACCTCCACAAACTCACCAGAAAGTCGACGTGCGTGTTAATCATACCATATCTCTCTTGATCGAATACCTGACTATGCGAAGTGGCGCTTGTGGCCAAGTTGAGCCGCTGGCTGGCTTCCAGCGTCAATTTCAGAACAATTCACAGCGATGTCAGGAAGAGGAGGACTGCTGGGACAGGCAGGTGGCTTCTTGACACCCGGCTTTACCGTGAATGGAAGAAAAGTAGGAGTGGGGTTATCTGGTGGATGGGCAAACGTGAGTGTTCCCTTCCGTGGTTGAAGCAAGGCCGTGCTAATGCAACTCTGGTCTAGCGGGCGCTGGCAAGACCGTGCTTGCGTGAGTACAGCGCGTCTTTGGGTGTACAGCACCGACCGAACTTCTCTTTAGATCGACGATCATCGATGATCTGCTCCCGCTCGAGGACGACTCTGAGCGGACCTGTGTGCTGTTTGTTTACAGCCGCTACACTGAACCGCTGGCTGTGACCGACATCGTGAAATCGCTGATCAAGCAATGCATCGAACGCAACCACGATCTTGCGAGGGTCGTCGAACCGGTCTACGAGAAACACCAGCTGGAAGGAACAGAACCCTCGATCGATGAACTAGTCGACTTGCTCCAGATGCTGGAGAGCTATTTTAATCGGGTTTACTATGTCATTGATGGTGTAGACGAGGCCCATCTTGATGTCCGCTTCGACCTCATCGAGGTTATCAACAAGCTGCAAGGAAACATCATGCTGACATCCCGACCCCTCGACGAGCTTGGCGCCGACCTCGAATGCGCCGTCTTTTGCGAGTTGACTGCACAGGACAGCGACATCCAGTTGCACATGGAGGAGAAGCTCCAGCGGTACAAACAGTTGGGTCGGGTATTGGACCAGAGTGACTGCAGGGAGGAGATATTACACGACATCATTGAGAAAGCGGAAGGAATGTAGGTGTCGAAAGTAGCGCGTAAACGGAGTGTACTCGAGCTGACTCCCTTCAGGTTCCTTCACGCATCCCTTCAACTTGATGCTATCCAGCACTGTCATTCCTATGAAAGCATACGACAGAAACTAGCAGCATTTCCAACGGGGATAACAGGGATGTATGCGGCCAGTTTGCGGCGAATACAGGACCAAGACCCGGAATCTCGCGAGCTGGCCACGCGAATCTTACTCTGGCTAACCTTCGCCCGAGGTCCGCTCATTATGCGGGATTTGAGATACGCATTGGCAACGGACCCCGAAACCGGCGAGTTCCATCCTGAACGGATGCCACCCGAGGAATCGATACTTTCGGTGTGCTGTGGGCTGGTTGAACACCACACAAGCAATATTGTTCGCCTAATTCGTAAGTCTTTCTCTACTCTTCATGGATGAGCTCTCAACGCCAACTTATCTAGATTATACGGCCCAAGATGCCCTCATCCCCCTTCTACTTGAAGACCATCCCCAACCGCACATCCCAATCACTAAAGCCTTGATTCAACGAGTTCTTTCCAGTGGAATACTCCAGGCAGGGTTTCAAGAGCTCGGTCAACTTCATGATGCATGGGAAGATGAGCCGCTCCTTCGATACGCCCAAGAAGAGCTAGGCGCCCATATCGAGGAATGCTCCGCCGAGATAACCACTGTCGTCGATGACTTTCTACTGCGATGCAGCGGATTCCCTATGGATATTGGGGGCCTATTTGATGTTTGTCAACCCCCTCACGTCGCTGCTCACTACGGCCTTGGGTCTTACTTCAAGTCTCTTGCTGACAATGGCTGCAATTTGGATGCGCAGACACAATTCCTGGACCACACTGCGCTGCATCTAGTAGCAGAGAGCGGGAATGAACAAGCTGTAGAGCAGCTGATTCAGCTAAACGTTGACCCCAATGTCGCCGGAATTGGCGGGTGGACACCGCTCATGCGTGCAGTATACGATGGCCACCGGGCTGTTGTGTTCCAGATCCTCCAAATACCCGGACTCGAGGTCGATGCTGCGGATAGCCAAGGTCGGACGGCGCTGATGTGGGCAGCTCGTCAAGGCCATCACGATATCATCTCTCGATTCTTCCAAATCCCCGGAATCAATGTTCACACCGCTGATTACTCAGGAAGCACTGCACTCATGTTGGCAGCGGAGCAAGGCTCCGTCGATGTTGCCTCTCAACTCCTTCAGGTTCCCGGAATCGAGGTCAACGCAGCCAATGACCAAGGATGGACAGCGCTAATGGTGGCAGCGTACCATGGCCACGCCAACGTCGTCTCCCAACTCGCCCAAATCCCCGGAACCGAGGTCAATGCGACGGATAACGAAGGATGGACGGCGCTGATGTTGGCAGTGTTCTATGGTCATGGCGATGTCGTCTCTCGACTCCTCCAAGTCCCCGCCATCGAGGTCAATGCAGCGGATCACACAGGAGGGACAGCGCTGATGAAGGGAGCGCACAAAGGGCATGTCGACGCCGTCTTTCAACTCCTAGAAATGCCTGGAATCGACTTCAATGCATCAGATAACCAAGGATGGACCGCGCTGATGCTGGCGGTGTTCCATGCGCGTGACGATATCGTCTCTCGACTTCTCAAAATCCCGGACATTGAGGTCAATGCAGTGGACCATGCAGGCGCGACGGCGCTGATGAAGGGAGCACTGCAAGGACATGGCGATGTGGTCTCCCAACTCCTCCTGATCCCAGGTATCGAGGTCAATGCAACAAGCAAACAAGGATGGACGGCGCTCATGTCAGCGGCGCACGGTGGTCACGCCGATGTCGTCTCACAACTCGCCCAAATTCCTGGAATTGAGGTCGATGCAGTGGATATCGACGGATGCACCGCGCTGATGTTGGCAGCACAACAAGGCCGCGGCGATGTCGTCTCTCGACTCGCCGAACTGTCGGATATCAATACAGCAAATAACCAAGGCTGGACGGCCCTTATGTGGGCAGTGGACCGGGGCCGCGACGATGTGGTCTCTCGACTGCTTCAAATCCCTGGCATCGCGGCCAATGCATCAAATAAACAAGGATGGACAGCGCTGATGTTGGCAGCATACCGAGGACACAACGATGTTGTGTCGCGACTCGCCCAAATGCCTGGGGTGGAGATCAATGCAGCAAATAACGAAGGATGGACGGCGCTGATGGTGGCAGCGCGGGTAGGTCACAACGATGCGGTCTCGCGGCTACTTCAGATCCCCGGAATCGATGTCAATGCGACGGAAAGCAAAGGAGGTTCGGCACTGTCGATAGCGGCGCTCGAAGGCCATTCCAACGTGGTCGCTCAACTCCTCCAATTCCCTGGAATCGAAGTCAATGCAACGGATAACAACGGCTGGACAGCGCTGCTGTTAGCAGCACACCCAGGCCATGACGATGTAGTCTTCCGACTCCTCCAAATCCCTGGAATTGCGGTCAATGCAAGGGATAGCAACGGTTGGACAGCACTCATGTGGTCAGCATATATGGGCCACGTCGATGTCCTCTCTCGACTGCTATTACACCCTGACATCGATCCCGACGCCCGAAATCATCACCACTGGACGCCGCTCACCTTAGCGTCTCAGCGTGGTCACCACGATATTGTTCGTCTATTACTCGAGTGCGATGGCGTCGACGTCAACGCAGCTGACAGTATCGGCAACACCTCTTTGATCATGGCTTCATGGTCTGGTCACCGACTCGTTGTGGAGCTACTTATCCAGTCTCCGGGAATCGACCTCAATCTCAAGAACAAAAGACGACTGTCGGCTCTCAAGGCGGCGCAGCAAATGGGGCATGAAGAGATCGTGGCGAAGCTCATCGAGTTCCAGCAAAAGTAGACGTCAGGGGGAGATACTGAGGTTCCCCTGGCCGGCGAGACCGGTGTACCAGTGGAGGAGTCAGAGTAGGCTGTAGCAGTGGCATTCGTAGCGTCCTTAGTTTGCATGAATCATATTTCTTGTCGATTCGTACTTGTTGAAGTCCAAGTCTCACTCTTTTTTTCGGACTTGAGTACGAGTACTGAATTTAGGCGAACAGTAGTTCGAACCACGATACCTAATGTACAATTCAAATACACGAAAACGGGGTGATGCGATGCTTTGAACTTGCGAAAATCTAGAATGCTCCTGTTACTCGTGAACGTTGAAGCGGTGGACCAATGAAACTGCTAGGATGGTAAGTATGTACCTTCAGTGCAAATGGTGTACTAAAAACCACAAGATCAGGGGATAAAAGTGGATGAACAGTAAAGCGGAAATGAAAATCAGTCCGTAGAATGTACAAACGCGATGAAATGGGCGATGGAATGGTGCAATGAGGAGCACGGGTGGAAGGTCTTGCCAGTCGAAAGCAGATCGACGTCTCATTGAAACCAAATCCCGTCACGTCTCGTTCTTGACCAAATCCTGTAGGATAGGCCGGCCCTTGAGCAGCCCAGTCAACTTCTTCTCCTCGTTCGTCGATTTCTTGCTGGATCTGGCCTTTGAACTAGGCATGGTGGAGGTCTCCGTGATGGAGGGGTCACTCGCGACTCCTCGAATCCTGGGCATCTTCTTGGGTCGTTCCGTAGATTCATCTTGGTTAGTAGAGGTTGAGGGTTTGGCGGATGATGAGGTTGATCCAGCGGCTCCACGCTTGAACCATCCATCCAATTTGGATTGGGTGGTTCGAGGAGCGGAAGGGTTGATTGTTGAAGCTGTCTTGCTAGAAGAGCTAGACGGGGTATTCTTGGTGGAAGAAGTCTTCGAACCTGTCGACGTTGACTTTGTCTTAGTCGAAGCGTCCTTTGACGAGGCAGAAGAAACCGGCATAGAAACCACACGGTTTTCTTTCTCCTTCCCCTTCTTCCCGCCCTTAAACACGCTAGGAAGACCATTCGTGGACCGTGACCCTTTTGAGGTTGAGGGGGTAGATTCGGCAGAGGACGCGGAAGCTGAGGATGATAGAGTGTGGTCGGAAGATGAAGCGACCAGTGTACAAGGGGTGGAGATCCCCGATGAGCCAACGAGTGTCGAAGGAGTCGAAGTACCCGACGATACTCTCGAGGTGCTACGCGGACTAAGGGAGGAAGAACCAGCGCGGCGATGAGTTGGCCCGTCGAAGACCTCGATTTCATCATCGTCGTCCACGTCCATCTTGGTAGACAAGACTACCTCCACGTCGTCTTCAAGGTCGACATCAATTATCGTTGGACTGGACCTTGGCTTGGCATCGACCACAACGACCTCGTTATCGTCGTCCTCCATAGCTTGTGCAGGTCGTTTTCGAGGCGATGGTTTCTTCGCCGGTTCAAGTTCGTCGTCGACCACGACTGTATGGTCCCCAACGTCCGGTTCTCCAGTCGATACAACCTCGTCAACAGGATCCTCCAACTCTTCTTCCTCCACCTCGGCCTCTGTGTCCTGTGCGTTCCCATCCCAGGGCAAATCCCCATGGCACCTCTCCGCCCCCTCCTGCAACGCATACACCCACCCCTGCCCCTCCATCAACTCAAAGAACTGAGATAGAAGCGCGTCACTTTGAAGGGTAGAACGAGACCCGAAGATGACAAGTTTGGACCGGGCGCGGGTAAAGGAGACGTTCATTCTGCGCCAGTCTCTGACGAGTTCACCGATCTGTGATAATGGAAAGTCGTGGGTTAGGTCACATATTGGGATGGATAGGAAGGAGGATAGCGCACCTGGTTCTCGGGGTTCGACCTCACGAGTGAAACGACAATACAATCTTTGTCTCGTCCTTGACTCTTATCCGCTGTCAGGACTTCCACTCCATCCAACCCTCCTCCAGTACCCACGCCACCCTCGTGCCCACTACCCCTGACATTCTTCAACTTCTCACCCAACAGCTTCACCTGTTGCCTATACAGCGAGATCACTCCGACTTGGTCCTGCCGTACACCACTTTTGACCAGGGCCTCGACGAATTGGACTACGAGCGAAGCTTCAGTCGTGTTTTGGACCAGGTCGCCTACGCGGGAGTCGTACGCGACGGAACCGAGGGTCGAGGTGTCGACGAAGATTGCTTTGGTGCTATAGGATGGGGATGTGTTAGTGTTCTTGGTTCTGGTGACGATAAGGGACGTACGATGGATCGAGTAGTTTACTCAACCAACATCCGTTCTCATTCTTTCCATTACAGAGTCTGTCATCGCCTGGCTCTCCCAGCCCCTGTACCCTTCGCATCCTACCCAACCGCCTATGCATCCTCCTCACAGCCATCCCACCATCGGGCAACTCCAACCTCCTCCCCGCCACACTCTCACTCCCACATTTTAGGCGGTCGTCATAGATGAGTTTGTTGGAGAGCAGCATGATGGAGGCGTTCATGCGGTATTGGTGCGTCAGGTCTGTTACGCTTTGAGGGTGTGCGGAGGAGAGGAGGCGGAAGAGGGAGACGTCGAGGCCACCCGTACGGGCTTGGGGGTTTTTGACCTATGGGTGTAGAGATCAGAGGAGGGTGTAGGAGGAGAAGGGGTGAATGGAAACGTACGAGAGGAGGGAGTTGGAAGTGGTCTCCGACGAGGACGAATTTATCCGCGTGGCGGAGGGGACCGAGACATGTTGGAAGTGTAATTTGTGACGCTTCGTCTACTATACAGTAGTCGAATTTGCGTTTAGTGAATATAGGGCTGCGAAGGAAGATCGGTTAGTTATAGGTTTTCAGCCTCGAAGAAAACAAGGAACTCACTGATCGACGCCTAAGCACGTCGAAGCAACCACGGGGGGTGACAACCACTGCTTCTCCAGTCCAGCCACTGTCTGAGCTTTAGGCCGTGCTTCGAGTGTGTACCGGCGTGCATCCGGGTGGACTTTATCGATGTTACCTAGGCGTAACACTTTCACGTCCCAGAACCCAGAGTTCTTCCTCTTCTCATTCGCCCGACCTTTCCCCTCCTCAGTCACCTGGCCTTTCTCCTCGTCCTCTTCACTCTCACTCAACTTCCGCAAAATACTGTCGACTGCCGAATGCGTGTAGCTAGCCAGCAAGACGGTCTTACCCAACGCTACCAATACACGGATGAGGGCAGCGATGACGGTCGTCTTGCCCGTCCCTGGCATACCGAGGATGAGAGCGTAGTCTTGGGCGGAAAGCACTTTGTGCAGGGCGGAGAGTTGGGTGGGGTTGAGTGTGGAGGTGGCTTGTTGGATGGAGGCGGCAGTGGAGGGTGGAGTTGGAGGTGAAGGCGGGGATGGCGGTGAGGGCGGGGGCGGGGAACTGGATGTAGACGAGGTAGAAGGGAAAGGCAGTCCCGGAATTACAGGTACAGGGCCAAACACCGGCTCTCGCAGATCTACGATTAGGGACCTCCGTTTATGATCCCCCTCAACGTAGAACAACTGCGCGAGGTTGTTACGCATACGTGACATACCACCGAACAACTCGTCTTTGTCGATTCGGAAGATTAGTTCTTCTTCGTCCCCGTTGGTTTCACCATTCGTGTTCAGACGCACTTGAGAAGAAAAGGGGTCGAGGTTCCAGGATGCAGGGGTGGATCTGGTAGACGGGCTGCCACCGCGTCGGGCTTTCAACACGTTCACCCTCTCCTTTAAAGCGTCCAAATCGAGTACGTGGTCCACGCCGACGGTTATCTCATCCGCGGTGAGAGAGAGGATGTACCCTTGGACGAGAGCGAGGAGGTAGGGCTCGATTGAGATCGTGATTGCGTCGCCGGGGGACAGGTGGGTATGAAGGAGGGTCGGGGGTGGCGTTTGCGATGGGTGTTGCGACGCAGGTTGGGAAGAAGGTTGGGAGGTGGAGAAAGGGAAGAACTGCGAGGAAGGCTGGGAGGAGGGAAAGACGAACGACTTGGCTCGGGTAAAGGTGTACGTGAATTTGTGGATCCGACTACCTGTTACTTGGTTCGCGTCGTTCTCCGAGTGGAGGTCCAACTCGCCGACTGTTGCGCTCTGAGAGGTCGAGGTCGCCCCAGAATTTGGGTGCTTCAGATCTTGCTTCATGACCATGCCGCTCAGACACCGCCCTCGTTTCTCCCGCTCTACTGCACCGACACGCCATAGCTCGCTCTTGTACCGGACGAGATCTTTCTCTTCGAGCGAGAGGAGACGTTCCCAGGTCCTGAAGAACAGGGCATGAGAGGGGTTGAGGTGGGAGGTCTTCATGGCGTAAGTAGTGGAGAGGGTGGAATGTGTGGAGGAGGGCGGTGGGGATTCGAGTGCTTTGAAAGTGGGTGTTGGGATCAGAGATTTGGAAGACGTGGAAGATGGGGATGGAGTAGAAAGGGCGAATCGGTATAATGTACATGCGTCAAGGACGTAGCATCGTTTACAGGTATGATCGGAATCGATTGGAGGAGGGAGGAATGCTTCTTCGAGGTCTGGTTCTGCTGTGCCACAGGCGATGTCTGTGTCCACTTGCATGCTGTCATCTGGAGCAGGGAGTTGGGCGGGATCGGTTGCGCTGTCGCGCATACGGACCATCATCCAGTTTGCGAGTTCGTTTCGCATGATGAGGAGCCCACGGATTTCGTTGCGGCCTCTTGGAACCTGCCGGCGCGGGTGTTAGCGACTCGAATACGGCGAGAGGGAGAAATGTACCTGGACGATTTCGCCTGTATCCTTTTGAGTGTAGAAGAGGAGCCCTTTGTCAACTTCGACGCCGTAGCGTTCGCTGGCGAGGAGGGTGTAGAGCATCGTTTGAGCACGGTGCTCCATTCCACCCATCGAGCGGCCTGTTTTGATTTCGAATGGGCGAGGACCAGAGGTTGTGGGACCTATGCCGTTTCCTAGCATGCTGGGCAGAGTGCCTTTTCCAAAGAATCCGGGTTTACCAGCCATGCCCGGTCGGCCAGGTGGTGAGCTAGACTCGGTTATCACTGCTTCGACGGTTACGTCCAACTTTCCTTTTAGCCCATACTTTGGTGACCAGATATCTTCTTCCACTTCATGTATACGTGAGATGGCGAGTAGATTTGTTTTAGAAGAGGAGGTGGAGCGGGTATCGGAGAGAGTGGCCTCCGGTTTGGGAGTGGAACCGATGTAGCGAGAAGCGAATGAGGAAAGGGCGCGTGCACGGTCTCGGAGTGTTGCGCGGGCTGTTTCCTCGCTTATATCTAGGACTACGAGACTACCTAGACTTGAGACGATGATAGAGTCAATTTGGCCGTTGATAAAGGATGGGGAAAAGGCGAGTTGGGGATCAGGGTGGAGGAGACATCGCTGGATTAGTTCGTGCAGCATGTTTCCCCAGACAAGAGCCGGTGAGGTGTCGTTTGATGCACGGACGAGTGAGGAGAGGAGAGGTTTCCGCGGACATTGTGGTGCGTTGGAAAGAGAGGTGGCGGTTAGGAGGATGTCAGGGTGCAGGATTACCAGGTTTGATTGGGAGGTGATTTCTATACTGGGCGGGGAGGTGCTCGAGAATGCCCCGAGAACGTTGATGGTGTCGCCGGGGTGGACTGGTGTCTCGTACCAGTCGTCAAATAAATATATGGTTCGTGGAGAAGAATGGTCCTTGGATACATGGGCGTGGAGGACTTTGCACCAGCGACCATTCAAGTGGGAATCGGAGACAGAGTCGACGGTGCAGCGAGTGGCGGAGTCTGCGTCTGAGACTGAACGAGGAGGAGGTTTGGGTTTAACTGGAGAGGCAGCGGGGCTGGGGACAGCGTCCCAGAAGGAGTCGTCGAGGCCTTCCACCAGAGCATCGAGTCCCTCCATCGTCGTCGCGTCAAACACACCACGCGCTCTCTCCAAACCAAGTCGCGTCTCGCGTCACATGCCCCTCCCTCCTGCTTGGCACCGCTGATCCCATCAACGCTCTCGGCATCATCCGAGGCACCGCCGCCACTGGCGAAATCAACACAACTCGAACGACGACGAACGACGCCCTCGACAAAACTCTCTCAAAGTGAGTGCTGAATCTTTGCTGTTGCATGCTCTGGATGGTCGTTGGGAAGAGAATGAGTGGCTGGAGAGGCGTTTTGAATGGAATTTAGGCGCTGGATGCGGATCGAGGGGACTTGGATGACGCTGACTGACTGTCGCTTGGGTTGTTTTATAGATGGTGCGTTATCTCTGGATTCTATGGAATTGGGATGATTTCTGACGATGGACGATTTGGCGTTTATAGAAGGTCGAAATTGACTCTTTCTCGGGCTACCGAATCTACCCCAGCAAGGGCAAGCTCTTTGTCCGGGGTGACTCCAAAGTGCGAATCTCTCCATCTCAGCGAGTTATCCCAACCTCACCACCGCCTTGAATATGCCAGGTCTTCCGCTTCTCCGGCTCCAAATCCGCTTCCCTCTTCCTCCAACGCAAAAACCCCCGCAAAATCGCCTGGACACAAGTCTACCGCCGCATGCACAAGAAGGGCCTCACTGAGGAGGTCACCAAGAGGAAGTCGAGGAAGACTGTGAAGCACCAGAGGGGTATCGTCGGTGCTGACTTGGCTGCCATCGCCGCCAAGCGGAACCAGACCGCTGCTGTTAGGGAGCAGCAGAGGTTGGCTGCTATCGCCAAGGCTAAGAGCGAGAAGAAGGAGAGGGAGAGCAAGAAGGCCAAGGTGCGTTCCAACTTTGTTTGTGTATCCCGGACCAATTATTGAAGGATGCGCTTGTAGCCCGCTGTTCGTCAATCGATCCCCTCTGGACCCAAGGTGTCCAAGCAGCAGATGAAGGGTGGCAAGGCTGGCCGATAAGCGATAATTACGAACAACAGGAATTTTGTCGCGAGTCGTTCTATCCCTCCATTTTTTGTTGTACGATGATTTCCACTATGTTTCTATGCACGCATGCCCCCTTCTATGCAACAGCAACATCGCACGACGCAACATATTCGCTTTTCTTCTTTCTTGGTTCATGGAAAGAGTGCTATCCGTGTGGACGTAAAAGGTGTTGCGGCGTTCTTTACTTTGAAGGTTGGGATGCGACTACTTCTTTTGACCCTGATTGACTCTTTTCATCGAGTTGTGGTGTTGTGAGCGAGTATCACTCGCTTGGAAGCCTGATGGGATTGGGAGCACAGACAGCCCAGCGCTTAACCGCTTCACTTCGCTGCCTATCAGATCTTGTTTCTGCTATCTTGCTGAGCGTTCGCTTCCTTGGGGTTCCGTCTGATCTGACGTGGCGAGGTTAAGTGGATTGGAGAACTGGCGTTTGAGGAGGATCGATCTTGGTCGAGGAAGGGGAAGGGGAACATAACCCTTCGTCTCGCAAACGGTCAGCGCAAGGTATGGAGGACTATGATAACGACGTCGTCGTAGTCGATACCAATTCAAGGTCCAGCGCAGCGATCTCGATGTCGACTGAAATAAAGACGACGACGATGAGGCAGACGACGCTGAGCTCGAGGTGTTCGAGGAACGATGGTATACTAGAAATTCAAGAACGAGAAGAAGTTAACTGGGGTATTCGAGAAACCGGCCTATCCTGCAAAACTTCGCCAACGACCAGACACAGGGAGTTTGGCAAGGCGTGGATCTGCATCCAGGCTGGTCACCCCCTAGTCCTTGTTTGCCGAGTCCATATCTGATTCCATGCGCCTACATATTCCTCTGATCGCAGATTGGCCACTGTTGTTTCCATTGACGCCTGGAGAGATCAAGATGCAAGTTGGAAACTCCTATGGTCGTCGGTATACTACTAATACACACGTCCGCTGCGTTTACGTCGATACCGTCGGACTGAAGCAACAGGGGAACAATATTGCAGCGACCATAATCCGACGCTGGGCCCGGAAGTTAGGATCGGCGTCAGGGTGGAGTAGAAGTCGTTGCAGTAGTGCCGCCCGGCCTTGGTCGTCCGCTACATTGACCTCGATTCCGGGGAATCCGAGTAGTTGAGAGACGACGATGGCGTGGCTTTGTTGCGCTCCCCTTATCAGCGCCGTCCCACCTTGGTTATCCGCCGCATTGACCCCAATTCCGGGGATTGTCAGAAATTGAGAGACCACGTCGAGGTAGCGATGCGAACATCAGCGCTGTACATCCTTCGTTAAATTTTAAGCCTCCATTGAAGAGATGGATGCTTCTGCCTTGAATCGCGGTTCTGAGGACGTCGATGTCCCTCATCTTGTCGGGGAGTAGGTGTTTGGACGGAATGCATGGTATTCCAGGGAGATCGTAGCCATAGTGAGGAATGCATGGAATGCAATGTAGCACCGGCCTTGTTTAGGGCGTCAAACAAAACAGTATTCATCTTCTCGCCCTCGCTGCGCATCAAAGAAAAAAGCAATCCAATTCGGGACCGTGTCGTAACTCGTCCAAGAACGTGAAAAAACCAAGTCATTCCAAAAAAAGAGTTCGTCCAAGGGTCGTTCCAACAAAGGTGGGGTAGAAACGATCAAGAAGGGGGCTCATAGAAGATGAAACGTAAGACGTACTTCGAAAGTAGTACTCAGAACGTAGAAACGTAGAAGGGAGAACATGAAAGGGAGAAAAAGTAAAGAGTAGAAATTATTAAGACATAGATACAACAAGAGTTTCATACGCGTAACACGTAAACGTAACCGTACGTAGCATGCGAGCCGGGTGCGTGAGGGCGGTGTCGGGCTTGGTGGATTAGGCCGAGGTGGGATGGTGTTTCGTGTTGAAGGCGAGGTTGGGTCGGGGTCGGGTTAAGGGTAGACCGGGGTCGAAAGAAAGTGCATGAAGTGGGGTAGCCGTAGAGTATACTTCGGTGTAGTAGAGACCACAGTTTACTTCTTGTCATTACCGACAGTTTTGACGATTGAAACGACAATGATGACGATGATGACTGCGATGGCTACACCGATGATGATTCGCATCTGTTATACCAGTTGTATGGTGCCATGAGAGTAGAATGGTTGTATCGTGTGATGGGTGAGACGATTGTCGTGGCGATTGTGGTGAATTGAACGGGGGAGAAAGACCGAGATCCCAGGAATGCGCAGTAAGGACGATTGGTTAGCAGTGTGTACGGGGCAGTGAGTGACATTGATGCGCGCACCTTCATGTCTTTCCACCTTGATAATCACGATTTGGAACCAGACCAGACAAGCGGGCGCAGGGAAGAACGATATGTACTGAGCGAATGATGCTGGCATTGGGGAAGGAGGCGGGCTTACCACATGTTCTAGAGAAGAAGCCAGAGGGTCAGCGAATGGATAGATAAAAGATTTGAGAGATTACACACCTTTCGCACTCTGTTTGCACCCCTTCGGAATCCTTGTGCAGAAACTGCCAGGTTATCTGCATACACAGAGAACGAAATCGTATCGCAGTATCAGTATCCAAGTCCACAGCCCGAGTTGCAATACAGCCAAAGGATTATCCTCTTCATCTCGACACCAAAACCGCAGGATGAACGAGAAGACATGATGGAGAGATGAACGCACCAGTCTTGTCCTGTAACGAATCCAATCTCTCTCCACGTTCTGCGACTTTGGTGATATTCTCCCTCATGATTCCGACTGTATCATCTATCTGGGCTTGGATGGCGGCTGTCTTTGCGTTTCCTGCGCCACCGCCTGTGGACCCTGGGTTACCGCTGGAGGACCCGGCGCGGGGGAGGTAGGGGTCGTATGGCTCGGACCTGCATCCAATTCAGCGTTCGGTTAATTATATGGAACAATAATGTGAATTGGGGGTGGATGACTGACATTGTGGAATTAATGGAAAGGTTCTAGGGGTTGTATTAGATGGAGAGGTACGAGGAGGAGAGGGAGGAGAGAGCGTACCGAGTGAAGGTTGTGTGGGAGCAAGGCGCAGTTGAGAGGTTTAGTGGCGATGGCGATGGCCGTCGTCGTCACTGTCCATGTTTGGTTCGACGCCGTGGAAACAACAACAACCTTGCACCGCCATTCAACCCCATGACTAAGCATCCTCTTGTCAGAACTTCGTCGTATTCAAAGGGGTATCGGGTATAGAACTAGATAGCAGAGGTACGTATTACATTTGTTGTAAGGAGCGGGGTGTATGTAAGTGTTCGTTTATTTTTCCTTTACGAAGCCCAAAGAAAGAAAGAAAAAGAACAGAGACTATGCATCTGTGCAGTCAAGTAGAATTATCCCGTAAATCGATTCAAAAAACCAGCGTAGTTAGATGAGCAGTGTTCCCTTCAAGGGATCGGTTTTGAAGAAAAAAAGTAGGCAATTGGCCATATAATGAATGGATAAATGAGGGGAAAAGAAGTCAGATTCTTAATCCTCTTCTTCGTCTTCATCCTCTTCCTGGATCGCATGTTTGAATGCCGGTCCGGCTCGCCCACCAGGAAGTTGTCGTCTTCCTCCTCGAGCAGTACTTTCTCCAGTGACGCTGGACGAGTCCGAGCTTGGCAGAGGAGATAACCTCTCCGCGGGGGAATGCCCAGCCCTCCCGCGCCCACCCACGGAACTGACCATCGATTGCTTCCCACCACCGTTCCTCTTGGTGTTCCTGTGCCTCGGCGCTGGTGACAATGTCACAATAGGCTCAGGGTTGATGGGCGCACTCGAAGACGAGGACGAAGAAATCGAAGCACCCATCTGACCCAGCCCACCAGCAAACGCCGGGATATCGTCATCCTCATCGACCCAATCGCTGTCATCACCCGCGCCGGTAGTGGTACTGAACGAATGACGCCCGCTAAAGACGTCACGAAGTGTCGCGGGTTCGTTGGAAGAGGAGATGACGAGGACTTCGACCGGGAGGTGTGTTGTCCGGTTTTGCCATCCCGGTGGCTCGATCCCCCAGGATTTCTTCCAGCTGGATTTGGAGAGGGTACCCCCGCCTAGGGCTGGGCTCGAGAAGGGGTTGGAGCGTTTGGAAGCGAGGAAGGACGTGGGTGGGCGTGAGCCGCCGATACTATCTGAATCGGAATACTTCCGGCTGCGATAGGGTGAGGAGTTGCGAGGTGCGGAGGAGGATGACGATGTATTTCCGATGACGTTGCCGGTTTCGGTTTCTGACTGTTCGTAGAATGAGGTGGGTCGAGATGAAGGAGGTGAATAGAGCGAGGAGGTGGCGGAATTGGACCGTGCGTGTGGGGGACGTGCGAGGCTTTGGCGGATGACGCGCGTAGATGAGCCTGAACCTGCGCGGCGGTGATACTTCTGCATTGGAGAAGCAGTTCGGAGATGGAGAGAGCCTGAGGAACTGGCGGAGGGAGATTTGCGGTGGCGCGGCTTTTGGCGGGAGGAAATGCTGTGGATGGATGAAGGCCGGGAAGAGTGATCACCTCGCTCAGAGTTGGGGGTGTGGCTGCCCATGGCACGGATGTTGCTGAGTTGCTGAGGAGAGTCGAGGACTGGGATTTGCATTGAGGTGATGGAGGATCGTCGCGAGTTGACGCTGCTGGACCGACGAGACGACATCGAGGGACGTTTAGCGCGGTGTCCGGTGCTGTTACGCATGACCTTAGCGCTCGCATTGCTACCTCGACGCTTGGCCGTTCCTCCACCTCCTGCTGTCCGCGTATAGGTTTGCTGCGGTGTAGATGGCACGCGGGGATTACTATCAGTGGAATCTTTACGCTTGCCCTTCCTGTCCTCGTTGAACCAGAGACGCAACGAAGTCAGGATGTTCGCCTTGTTTCGATGTTGGGTAGGCGCCTTGATCGTTGCCGTGTCGAGATTGGGTGCACTGTGTGAATGGGGCATCTCCCCACGCAAAGGGGCATGTGATGGCCCTGCACCATTCTTCGCATCTGCCAGAACCCAGGGAGACCCGATCTGAGTCGAATCATGGGTTTCACTTGGGGGTGGTGTGGCAGGGACGTTGTAATCCCTCTGAGCCTTCAATGGAGGCGACTTGGTAAGCTTCGATCCTCGTGGGTCATGAGAATGGGATGAGCGAGACTCTTCCCCACTCGTGTTGCGCTTCTCGTTATCGTTGTCCTTGTCCTTGGATTTTTCCCGCTGCTCGCGTACACCTTCGGTCGACTTCTTTCGCACAAGTCCGGCAGCTTCCAGTGCGGTTGTCGCACGCTGCATGATGCTGACACTACCGGATCGGTTCTTTCTACCTTTGCTTTCTTTCATGCTGCTTCCTGGTGTTGAAGGATGCGATCGGGGGAGCTCATGGGTTGTCGATGACGAAGGAGAAAGCATCGGTGAGCGCGTGGGTGATACAGCCCTAGGAGGGGTGCTCGGTTTCGCGAATGTTGGCGTTGGGGGAACGAAAGCCAGCTGCGGGGCTGGTTTGGAGAGGTACGTCGGGGAAGGCACCAACGATTCGGTTTGTACTCCAGCTTGCACTTTGCGCACCTTCCTTGACGATTTGAGCTCGGATTCCGCGCCGTTAGTCCGACCATGAGGCTCTGTGGCTGTTGTGGGCGACACAACGTCGGTGGGTTCCTCCAGGGCTCGCTTCTCTGCCTTCTTCTTGAGCATCCACCAGATTGCACCAGCCGAATCGCATGCGTCAGAGAGGACGGAATGGACGATCTGGGCAGTGTCCATTCCCAGGGCGCTAAGAGAGTTGAGTAGCTCTCGTTCGAGGGGAGTGGAGAAGATGATTGGTGTTGGTGTGGTAAGCAAGGAAGCAAAGTCTAGGCTGTGCGAAGTCGGTGGTGGGAGTGGGGTGAGGGGGGTTGGTTCTGCGTCACCTTCGCCCGATTTGGCGTTGTCGACGGAGAGGGAGAGCACAGACGACACCGAGCGTCGTTTGGTACGCGCAGGCGTACGAATCTTGGATGGTGGGGGAATCTTGGACCCAGAGGAGTTGGACCATGAGATGGGTCGGAGTTTGAGAGATTTGGACTCGACTGCATCGTCTTCTCTTCGAAGGGTTGAGCTACTTGCTCTATGAGTGATAGAATTGGGGGTGCTGTTAAATGGGTCCCCGTCTGGGTCGTTGTCGGGTGTACGTGGAGGTGATGTAGATGCACCGTTGATAAAGTTCGTGTCGATCGTGAGTTCGTCAGGGTTTTCTTCGTCAGGTTGTGGGATGGTTAGGAGGCTGGTGTCAACTGAGAGGGGAGATTCGGGTTCGTATGTGAGGTCTTTGGTGGTGAACCACGGGTGGGCGAGGATTTGTGGGATTGTAAAGCGCTTCATTGGGTCCTTTACCAGGATGTTCTTGATGAGGTCCCGGGATTCTGGAAGGCGTCAGAGAGCGCAGAGCGCAATAAGAGGGAACATACCTAATGATAGCCACGCTGGATCCTCGAATTCCCCTTTAATAATCATTTGTCTCATTACATCTTCGTTATCATCGTCGAAAGGTAGTGTCCCCGTCAAGAGACAGTATAGAATTACGCCGAGTGACCAAACGTCAACCTCTGGAGGCAGAATTAGGTTAATATGAGCCCTAGCAGGATGGTAACTCACCTGGCCCTTGATACTTCTTTCCCTGCAACATCTCAGGAGCTGCATACCCCGTCGTACCGCAGAAAGTCTCCATGAGTGAGCCTCTTTCGTACTCTCGGGTGAAACCAAAGTCGCCCAGTTTAACCCGACATCGTTCGTCCAGCAGGACGTTCTCCAGCTTGAGATCGCGGTGGACAATTCCCGTTTCGTGAAGGTAGGCAACTGCCAGGCACAGTTGACCGAAAATGATCTTGGTTTCCTCCTCCGAAAGACGGCCCTTCTCGACGAGGTAGTCAAACAGCTCTCCACCACAGCAGAGCTCTGTGACTATCCAAATGTGGGACTCTGTGGCAATAACTTCGTACATCTGGGTGATATGGGGGTGATGCAGTTGCCGGTGGTGGTGGATTTCCCTTGTCAATGTCGCTGACATTGCTTTCGGGATTTGCTTGATTGCCACTCGGGTGGAAGTGAGACGGTGTGTCCCCAAGCGAACCTTGCCATAAGCGCCTGTCGACTGTCAAAGAAGAACTCGGCTGGGTCAGGTCGACAACGCACCTTCCCCTATAACTTTGCCCAGAGTATAGTTTCCTACAACTCGAATCTTTGACGAAGCCAACTCCTTCCCCAGCTCATTGTAGGCATTGGCTAGTTGCGCTTTTCGGTTTTGGTTGACGGATTCTGAGTATCTGTGACCGTGATACGATGGCATAACCACATGTGCAGCGTTAAGAAAGAAAACGAAACTGAATCAACGAAACCATTCCCAAGTTCTGACGGCCATCATCGCGCGACGCGTGAGAATGGAGCCAAATACCGACAAACTGGGTTCCGACTCGGCCCTGTCCTCATCGTCACTGGTCACCCCTGAAGGCTATGTAGGAGTTGAGTGTACTTTGCAGGCGAGGAAAAGACTATCTAGCTTCTGCTTCACAAACCCCCTGCTTTCCCATGCCTTCGATGTGTCCTGTCCATTATCCGACAACTCATGTAAGTGTTATATTCTTAGATTCTCCACTCTTCGGCGAGCTTCTTTCCCACTTATTACACTCCACCTTCTCTAAGTATAGACTGCAGTCCGGGCAAAGACAATATCTCTCGTTCTCGTCTGTTCAGCCTTGATGTTTCTCACTTGTCCACAACCGACGCATCTAGTAAATCCTTTACTAAGAAGACAACGGACGACGAGGGTCGACCATTCGCACCGTCTATTCCTCATTGAACCAATCAGTTCGACCTACATACTCTAGGCCTCCCTGAGGAAATATGAACTGAAGCCTTCAAGGAGAGGAAATACTTGTCCATCATTGAATTATCCCGTTATATTCGTGCAAAAAGCGTTCGAAACATCATGGCTCGTGGCGGACCTCGAGTATACGCAGTGTGCTCAGTACGCGGTAGACACTTCCCATCTTAGCACATTTTTAAATTGGGACCACAGCCCTTTGGAAGTATGTATAGAGACTAATAATATCTCGGTTGAGCCAAGCGTAGTTCATGGAAATGAAACAAAACATCGCTTGTGCACTAAGGAAGCGTGCGAATCAACGGCCAAATACCTCCAAACTTGCCGAGTCGGCACCGGCTACTGCCTCCTGTGTCGCCCCAATCGCTTTCTTTCCAACTTCCAAGCCCATCTTTCCTTTGTCTTCTTTGTCTTTTAACAACCAAAGCTAGTACCTCCCGTATAGCATAATGGCCGACCAACTGGTAAGTCATTTTGGGTTTCTGATTCAGCATCGTGGACTTTAATCTAATCCTATCTTCTTTCATCGCTGTTCCGCAGTCTGAAGGTACGGTTGTTTGAATGAAGATGTGGACGGGGATGTGAGAGGCTAATGTCGTTGTTATTTTTCTCGTGATGGATTTTAGAGCAAATTTCTGGTATGTGCTTGGTTTATCGGACGCGATCTCCTCGTTGGAGCGCGTTCAGGGGGGTTGGGATCGTGCTAACGGGTTGCATGCAGAGTTCAAGGAGGCGTTCTCCCTTTTCGACAAGGGTGCGTGTTTTATCCTTGCTACCGCCGACGGTGTTTTCTAATGAATGATGCTGGTTTATTCAGATGGCGATGGCACGATTACCACCAAGGAGCTCGGAACCGTTATGCGCTCGTTGGGCCAGAACCCCACCGAGGCTGAATTGCAGGACATGATCAACGAGGTCGATGCGGATGGAAACGGCACGATTGACTTCCCCGAGTTCCTTACCATGATGGCCCGCAAGATGCGCGACACCGATAGTGAGGAGGAGATCAAGGAGGCGTTCAAGGTCTTCGACAAGGATGGGAACGGTTATATCAGCGCGGCTGAGTTGCGCCATGTTATGACCAACCTTGGTATGATTTCGTGATTAAATTGGGATTTGGGATGGTAGGAGCTCAATTGGGGTTTGTAGGCGAGAAGTTGTCCGACTCTGAAGTCGATGAGATGATCAGGGAGGCTGATGTTGATGGAGACGGCCAAATCAACTACGAGGGTGCGTTCATAATTGTGTTATTGGCGCGGACATTGGATTCACGTGGTTCGTGCTTTCAGAGTTCGTCAAGGTATGCTTCGATGGGTTCTGGGATGAGCGGTCTGGGTTAATGACTCGATTAGATGATGCTTTCCAAGTAATTCACGACCAAGGATTAAGCAAAGTGGAATTGATTATCTGTAGTAATATGCAACAAATGGACTCTCGATTGCTCCGATCGTGGGTGAAAAGGCATCTTGACATCGCGGAACAGCGGAACCCTCGGGTAGGATGGCAGGTGTACACTAGTGCATTGTGCATTCCGTACCAGGGTCGAACCATTCAGGGTAAGCGCGAACTGGCTGCTGATGCAATTGCCCCACGAACACGAACTACATGTCGGTCCAGCTTTCCGTTAGCATCCTCAGAGTCGAATGTGTATGCAGGAATCCAAAAATCCAATTCTAATGTACCACGGTATAAGATATCTGCCATACTCCAAGTGTATACTACGATTCTGCCTGCCTTTTCCTTCTTTTATCTTTCTATCTCGCGTCCAATGTCTACTCAACAGCTTGCACACCATCGTACTTGGGCAGACGTTCGCAAGCCTGTGCCCAGTCGATGTTGCCGTTGACGAGGTCCGTAACGGTTGCGACGACCTCATCGATCTTGCCGATGCGTTGGTCCATGGTATCTCGTTCACTGAAAGAAGGAAATGGTAGAGTTAGACAAGTGGATGCAAAGGATAGTGAGATGCTTACCGAATGGTGACGGTGCGGTTTTGGACGGCTGGTAGTGGGAATGACGGCGTCAGAGATGAAGGGGATGGAGCTTTGAAAGAGGGGACGTACAAGCAAAGTCGATCGTAAGACCGTATGGTGTGCCCAACTCGTCGTTTCGTGCGTATCGCTTGCCGATGGAGGTGTTGGAGTCGTCGACGCGGGAGAAGACACCGGCTTTGCGCAGTTTAGCGGCTGTTGGAAGGGAGGATGGAGTTGTCAATGGAACTGTAGAGGGAAGAGGGCGGGACGACGAATGACGTACTGATTTCCTGGACTAGAGGATCGAACTCTTCGCGTGCGCTCAGAGGGACGATGAGCACCTTGGTTGGTGCAACGAGTGGTGGGAGGGAGAGAACCTAGATAGATAGGTGTAAGGTATTGCGGATGGTAAAGGAGGTGATGTCACGTACACCGCGCTCAATGTCTTGCTCACGGGCCCAGAAGCTGTGCTCGAGCAAGCAATAGAGGATGCGGCCCAAGCCGAACGAGGGCTCAATGACGTTGGGGACGAATTCACGGACTGCGGGAGAGGTTAGGTGGTAATTGGATAAATGTGGAGTCTTGGCGCACTAGATTGCTTAAAGGTCTTGCGCTCGATGGTGAGGACTTCGGGGGTCAGGGTGAATTCTTTGCCCTCCTCGGTCTTAACAACGGCAGAGCTGATTATGAGGTGAGTATGGATACTAGGAGCGCGGGTTGGCGGCGTACCCTTGAGCGAGTTCACCCTTCAGTTTGATCAATGCAGCTTCATCCAACGAGTCGATGTGCTTTTGGAGGATACCGGCGTCGCCCTTGAAGGTCTTGCCCATGACCTTCTTGTTCCACTCGGGAACCTCCTTCTCGGTAACGATAGGCTCCTTCAAAGCCTGTCTGACAATCAAAGGAGTGCCAGTCTTGTTGCTGTGGACGGACAAGTCGTATGCAGCACGATCAGCACACCCAACACACTCGGTCCAACCATAGCTGTTCTGGATTTCGGCGTCCCAGCAGTCCGTTGCGTAGTGAGCCATCTCGTTGCCCATGTGCTGGCGGAATCGCAGGCGGGCAGGGTCGATACCGATGTTGATGAGGTATTGGTATATCCGTGCGATGAAGTAGCCGAGGGTCTCGTTGGCGATGATACCCTTGTCGACGGCTTCGCCGACGGTGATCTTTTTGGTTTCGGAGCTGCCTGCTTCTTGGGTGTGCTTGTCAAGGGCCACGATTTCGACGTGTCGGACGTCCTTGAAGGAAGGGTGGCTCTTATCGTCTGGGTCGACGTAGTGCTCGACTTCGGCCATGGTGAACTCGCGGACGCGGAGGAGGCCGGCTCGAGGAGAGATTTCATTGCGGAAGGAGCGGCCGACTTGAGCAGAAGCGAAGGGGACGCGACCGTTGTTGTATTCGAGGAGACGGTTGAAGTTGAGGAAGTGACCTTGAGCGGTTTCGGGGCGGAGGTAGCCCTTGTGCTGGCCGGTGGGACCGATGCTGCTTTGGAACATGAGGTTGAACTGCTGAGGTTCGCCGACTTCGTTGTCGGTATCGGGGTTGCGGATATCGTGTTTCCTGCACAGTTCACCGAGTTCGGGGCCGCCGTAGTTGTCGAGCTTGGACCAGTGTTAGCGAAGGAAACAATATGACAGCGTTTGACGTACTTGGGCGAGGATGGTTTCGTATTCCTGCACGACAGCGTCATCCAGCTTCACTGCAGTTGCCTTTGCAGCCTTTTTCTTCTTCTTCTTGGGGTCCTCAGCGACTGGAGCAGCTTCTAGACCGCGAGCTTCTCTATCGCCAGCGAGGCGGGCTTCAAGGACGTTTTTTACGAGGTGGTCGCCACGGAGGACGTCTCCAGTCTTGACATCCTTCACCATCCAGTCGGCAAATCGAGCGACGTGACCAGAAGTCTCGAAGACGGCAGAGGGAGTCATGATCGTGGTATCGACTTCGAGCATTCCCTCCTCGATGATGAAGTGTTTTCTCCATTCTGAGATGATGTTGGCCTGCAATGCTGAGCCTGGTGGACCGTAGTCGTAGAGACCAGCAACACCTAATCAAAGGCTACGTTCAGCAAGCGCGATTCAAGGGAGAGATTAGAATATGACTCACCTCCATAGATTTCGAATGCTGGTGCGTAGAAAAAGCGACGGTTGAGTAACGCTTCAAACCTCGTTTTATCGAAGGAATGTGCGGTTTTGTTGACGGTCGAAGCCATTTCCGAATAGTATCGTCGAAAAAGCGGATTCGATCTTTGTCTGTAGTGAGAGAACGAACGCAAGATATGCACTCCAAATCGCATTTGCAAGTTTTGAATAAGCAGGTCACGCACAAACACTTGGCTTCAATTTCGCCGCGGCCAATGACAGGCCCCGCTTACTTGCCGGATCATTCCCCATCAAAATATTTTCCGGCGCCGGGGCCAGCAGCCGGACCAACCTCCACAGGTCGGTTCCGGAGTAGGCCACCCAGAGCAGGACTAGACTCGATGCCAGTCTCCTTGGTAGTAACTCCGAGTGTGTAGTAGATAGGTAAAACAAGTGAAAAAACGAGGAAGAGGAAAAAATAGGGAAGGGAAGAAACTAATACTACCAAGGGAGACTGGAAGAACTGTAAGAGACGCGAGCACATGAGAATTCAAACTCAGCTGGTTGCCCCAAACCGGTAAGGCAGCCCCTAGCCAAAGTCACGGGGAAGCCATCACCGCGTCGCGCCGACACTCAACGAAGGCTACGAAGCTTTGACGAAGCTCTGTTTTACCTGCGTTTTCGAGCATTCACTCTCCCCGCCCTATAGCCTGGCTTCACTATGACATTTCAGTATGTTACGCCTGCCCGAAAGCGCAAAAGGAACAAAGAAAACGAAGGTCCCATCGAGTTCCAATTCCAAAACTACACTCCTGCCTCTACCAGCTTCAAGAAACCGCGGGTTCCTCTCCAGGAGATCACACCACAAGCAAAGGAGGCGGCGAAGGCGGAATATATACGTCTACAGGAGGAAATGAAGAATGCTGGGGAGAAGAGGCTGCAGGATCAGGTGGAGGAAGGCATGGAAAGGTTGAAGGAAGCTGGTGAGTTAATCCTTGTAACTCGCATCATGGTTCCTTCCTACTCACCCGTAACCTCTAGGATTTAACTTGTTCTATTCATTTATAAAAGGCGTTTTCTCATCAAAGGATCGCGCACGAAGCTCGGGGTAGTTGGAAGACTAAAGTCTTTCCACACCCAGTTCCAACATCCAGAATAACATCTTCTCCACACAGTATCTCTCTAGCCGCCTGTAGTTGTCATTCAAATGGCTTCCTTTCGAGTTTTCGTTCCGCCAATGCTGAGAGCTGTTGAAGATTCACTTCATCTTTCTTGTACCTCCGGGCAGCACTTGGCTTTGGAAGTGTAGATTGGATAGTAGAGGGGACTTGTGTGCTCGTCATACCGCATGCAACGATGGATTAACAACTTTTCTTTCAAACTCGACCGCTTCAACATCCAGGGCTGTCTAAAACACTGTTTCAAAGGTTCCTAAATTATCGAGACCGCTGTGACGCGACGCGATGGAGCGCGACTTCCGTTTTGGGATAGGGGGCACGGTTACTTCTTTTGGGCAAGTTGCTGAGTTTGAATTCTCATCTACACTGCCGGGCCCTCAGAACGTCCCCGTGATGCCCTGAGGCCATCTGTCCTGAGTTCGAACCCACCCGCGTCCTGATGGCAATCTGTGCACCGCAGTTCCTCAGGACGTATATCACCACTTTGCATGAAGCATGTCCCATTAGTCTGTCCTCAGTATGCCCTGGGCATATCCCCAGGATTTTGGTGGCAGCCGTCCATGGTACTCAGGATTTGGGTGATGTTCGGATTCCCTCCCTTGATGCCGCTCCTGCCCTACCACTTCCTGTAGCACCCGACACGAAAACCATCTAGATGATCAAAAATGAAATGTATTCATGTCTAATATCAATACATAAAGCAAAGGTTGAATACATGATAACCTGTCTATTGTGGGCCTGGCAGCACACCACCCATCCCAGCTCACATTCCCGTCCCCCATTCTCGACTAAACCAGGCATTCCTCACCGAGATATAGTTGACAAGACGGGACCGGAGACTGTTGGGAAGTTTATATTCCCGGCTCACTCTGTCCGCAAAGTGAAGCGAGTCTTCTTTGGTGGTCAGGATGCTTGGTTTATGAAACAGGTCCGGTGGGCCTTCAGGCGACAACGGAGAGCTGGACATTGGGGTGGCCATCGCTAGACCACTGCCAGAATCTGTGTAAGTCGATTAGGAGATTGGTTACAACAATTTTGGAGTGTCCACTATTCACGTACAGTCACGATACCCGCTGGATGTCCCGCCCCCGTGTGATGTTTCAAAATGGCCGCGGACCTGATTGCTGGGAGTGGGGGCTCCCAGAGGTCGAACCGGAGTCTGAAGGCCATGCTCTTGGATACGGTGAGGGTGCTGACCCAGAGACGGAGTGTGTTGAGGCTGGTGCCCATGGTGCAGGAGACTTTGCTGACTTGGGAGCTCACGCGGAGGGTGCTGGTTTATCTGTGTGAAACTGTTGGTCTGGCCGTCGGGGTTGAAGACATTCATTGCCCTATTGTCGTGTCCAGGGCTGTGATCAAAGCCTGTGTCGTACTCAGGGACACCTCTGTCCCCAAAACTCATGCTGCTGAAGAGTGAGGAAGAAAAAAAGACGCGACCTGAGCGCGACAGGGTTTTTAATTACCATTCCTCAGTGTCACGTGCCCAGCACTCTTTTTCATCCCTCTCCCTCTCTGTGCCGCCTTCTCGTTCCCTTCTGGTTCTTCTGCCATGGATTTTCCAGTTAAACGCGAGGCCGTGAAGCAGGAAGTACTAGACGTACCGCCCTCAAGCTATAACCCTCGTCGCCGGGCTGCTGTTGATCAGCAACAACGCACACAGAGGTAAGTCTATGGCCAAGGAACCCATACTGAGATTTTTGACTCGTCTTTTTATAGGATTCTTGCAAGTGGTGCTATCGATAGCCAAGTTACCGATTCACAATACGTCAATGCTCTGGTCTATGCCGGGAGCCCTTCCAACTCGGACAACTCTGGAGACTCGCAGTCTCAGCCCTTGGAGATACCATCATCACCTGGGTTTGAATCACAAAAAGACATCGGTTAAGTGCTCAATCCAGAATTGTCTGAATCCAAATTACTTACCTTCATATCAGAAAGACTCGAGGACAAGCTGCATGAAGCAAAGCAAGAGGTTTCAGAACTTGAAAACCGGCTTCGTGAAGCAGGACCATCGACTGCTCCACAGGAACCACCCAACCCAGTGCACGCCCGCACTCTTCAACTTTCGGCGCACGAAGAACATGTCATACGGCTCTGGCGCCGCCAACGCGAGGCTGACGAAAAGGCTTGGATGAATCGGGTAACGGAACTCGAGCAAAACTTACAACGCATTGAAAGTGATCGAGAAATCTTGTATTTGAGGGTTATGGAGTTGGAAATGGCATGTGAAAACCACGGCGTAACTGTATAAAGTAAAAGCAGAGGATGTATAGTAAACAGACACGAACACAATATTCTAAATCACTTCAGAGTTTCGAAGTGCCGCAAGACGATAATTCGTGGGACGTGAAGTGACAGTCGGGGCAGATGCAACGTTTGAGGTTGAGGCTGCTTTTCGCAAAGCTTTCTTTGCAGCAATGGTGGCCTCGGCACTTGAGCGAAGGGTCGAGTCGACAGGGAGAGGCTGGGAGGGAATACGGAAACGTTGGAGGTGCATGGCATCGCGCATCTGGGCGGTATTGACCACTCGTTCGTCGGGGTGGTTTCTGTGTTCAATGACAGCCTTTGTGCGATGTGTCTTCTCGCGTTCTTCGTAAACTGATACCTGACCTGACGGCTTGCAGTTGGCCTGTGCACATGGATGCTGGGTGTTGACTGTACAGAGAATGGACTGGAAAACCGAAGGAAGGGATTAGCACTAATGTCTACGACAACTTCAGTGCAGCTTACCGAAGCTTTGAGCAGCTGCCATTCAGCTTGAAGGTCCATGTACGGCATGCCATAAGGCTCGGCCACGCGCTCAGCAGAAGCCAGTCGGACAAGGACATGGCGAGGTGGCATATGAGACATAGCATCCTGTGCAGCGATGATCTCTTCCACAACAGCCAGTGAGCGAACAGAGTTGAGGGCGTCAACAACGACACATGATCCAATCTCACAATGGTCACCGTTCTTGAGATCAAAATGGGTGCAGGTCTTGAACAGCTGTGAATCATTTTTTGGGTGCACTGATGGCAGGCGTGAGGCCGTGATCAGGTCGGAGAATTTGCAGGGGCCCTTCTTCGCAAAGTGACATTTGGCTACACAATAGAATTCAATATTCAACCTGTGGACAACACGAGAAAGACCTGGCTCACCATTGTAAACAGAGAGCTTGCTGTTTAATCCAAGGTAGCTAGAAACCGTGGTTTCCGTCCCGACCATATCCCGAGGTTCGTGCCCAGCCGTGACCCACTGTTGACGATCGAACGAGAACTCGCGCTTCGCCAGATCAGTGTCGACTGGTGTTGTCCGAGAGCGTTGAAACCACCCTCCACTGACAAGGTGTCTGATCCGATTCCCTTGCGCAAATGCTCGGGCGATATCACGAGATGGGGCTTGACGGTTTGAGTGTATGCTTTTTGCTCGGATGATGGCGTTGAATGATTCGAAGCCCTCGGTGGCGAACAGTATAGCTGGGCCAAAGCATCGAATGTGTTCAGGGAGATGGACCAGAATATGGAACTTCGGTTTATTGAACCACCGGTGCGTCCACTTGGCCGTGGTCAGGAGAAACGTCTCAATCTCCCTCTCGAGTAGTTTCTATCAAACATGAGATCAGATGTAGCTGGCCGTGAAGGTAGGAGAGCACATACCACATGCGCATCAATGTCCTCTATCTCTGGCTGCCAGACAAGAGGAACCGGCTTTGATAGGCTCACCCAGGTGTTGTAGCACTCCGGGGACACCAGGTGCAACACAAACGGTGCCACCTGTGCGATCGCTCGAAAATCTCGGCCCACCAAAGAACCGGCGTACTGGACAAGTGTATGGCCTGCCAGGCGTGAAAGGCCTAGTCCAGAGACATCGAGTGACGAGAGGCGGGCTGCCAGTATATCTTTCTTGGCCTTCTTGTTCTTGAGTTGATTCTGAATGACATCCTTCCAAAAATATTTGACGAATCCCAGGAGCACCACATGAAGGATCTCAACAGGGGTATCGCAATGAGGGTCCAGTCCTAGGTTTTTGCGGTAAGGGCAAATCAAGCTTGGAAACCGTCTAGAGCTCACCTTTGATTCGCCAAACAGGGCTAATCATTTTATAGATGTCTGATGTCACCGGGCAGAGTAGCAACAAACGCGTCCAGAGTTTCTTGCTTTGTGTGAGCGCTTCGTTTGGCCTTGTAGGGACTGGAACATCTGTTCAAGGAAATGTAACTGGAAGGTGTCTTTGATCCCGGTTTTCGTGCGCTTCTTCTTAAGGTTGGTATTGTTGCCGACGATGCATGCATCCGTGTAGAACGACTTGAGTTGGGGCGATCGTTTCCGAACGGTTTCTGGCACGGTTGGTGTCGCGAAGAGCGAACACTAAACCAAACCAAAGACCAGTGATGCGGAGCAGATAAGAGCGGCGAGTAAGATAAGAGCGATGAGCGACGAATGCAGATGAAGGCTGAAGCGATGTATTGACGAAGAGGTCAAGCTGAGGAAATACAGAGGGATCTACCTAGCTTATATACCTATTCTACAGTCTACATAGCCGCGATGAGTCAAGATGACGAACAGATGGTGAAATGCAAAGAAACAATAAGGAGAGTCACAAGGCTGCGCAAAGGCTGCGCGAAGAATAAAGAAGACAATAACAGAGTAACAAGGCAGTGCAAGAATGGAGAGAACAATAAGACGTAGGGCAAAGGGCATAACGAGGCAGTGTTCCATGGGAGAAAGTGTCCGTGTCGAGAGTAAGAGCAAAAATGAGAATAAAGAAAAGGTGATAAGGGCGATGAAAATGATAAGATAAGATAAGGGAAAATAGGGGCTCGTACTTGCTGTTCACGACATTACCCCCCTTCTAAGCCTCATCGTCCTCGATGATCAACGGTAGGCGGCGTCCAAGTTCCCAATCGAAGTCGGTAGGCGGAGCGTCGGTGAAGTTCTCGAGTGGACGCCAGGGCAGGGAGCTGAAGATGGCGGCGGAAATCCGGCGTGGTGCGGAAGAGGTGTCGTTGATGGAACTCCTTTACGATCTCCGGCGCATGCTCCAGGTTCTCCTCCGGTTCCCAACTGTCGTCCGTCGACCCGTAACCTTTCCAACTAACCAAGTACTCCAGTTTGCGATTCTTCCCTCGACCTCTCCAACGGCTGTCCAAGATGTCGTGAACCTCGTATTCAAGCTCCCCCTCCAGTTCGACAGGCTCAGGCGGAGGTGGCAAAATGCCATTGACATCATTGCCTTTCCAGGGGGAGAGCTTGTCGACGTGGAACACAGGATGAATGCGGGAGAGGGACGGGGGAAGTTCGAGGCGGTAGTCGAGGTCGCCGATGCGTTCGGTAATCTTGTACGGGCCGAGTTGGAGGTCGCCGAGTTTGCGGGACGGAACCTTGATCTGGATGTCCTTCGCGTTAAGCCAAACATAGTCGCCAACCTTGAATTGATGAGCCGCTCGCTTGCCGGACTCGTACGCATCCTTCTGCTGGGCCTTTTCAAGACGTAGGGCAGCTTCCACGTCCTTGCGGGCTTCTTGTAGCTGCTGAATACGTTCATCAACGGGGCGAAGGTCGGTACGTTTGCCAATGGGGATGTTGAAGTGGGGAATATATCCATAGAGAACTTCGAAGGGTGAACGAATCATGGGCGGAGTGGACGCGGGAGTTGATCACGAATTCAGCCATCGGTAGGTGCTTGTCCCAGTCATCCTGTCGGCGAGAGACGTAAAGGCGAAGATACTTCTCGATTTCCTGGTTGGCCCGTTCGGTTTGTCCATTGGCTTGAGGGTGATAGGCGGTGGTGAGGTTGGACTCGATTCCGAGGCGCTTGAGGAGGGTGCGCATGACCTTAGAAGCGAACTGAGGGCCTCGATCACTGATGAACCGAAGTGGGAGACCATGGAGACGGAATACTTCACGGTAATAGATGTCTGCAACGCCTTCGGTGGTGATGTCGGATGTACAGGGGAGAGCATGAAGAACCTTGCTGTAGTGATCGGTGAAGACGATGATCGCGTCGTGTCCATGGGCTTCCGGTAACTGGGTGATGAGATCGACTCCTACTGTCTCCCAAGGCCCTTCGGGAACGTCCAGAGGCTGGGTGGTGGCTCGCGGGTGCTGGGTATGCTTTCTCCGGGCACAGACATCGCAGCCGTCGACGTACTTCTTGACGAAGGCCCGCATCGTGGGCCACCAGTACTGTCGTTCAACTCGCTCGAGGGTTCCGTGCACTCCAGGGTGTCCGGACGTGGGGTCGTCATGACACTGCTTGAGGACATCGCGCCTAAGTTCGTCGTCCGGGGGTACGTACACACGGCCCTTGTAGTACACAAGGCCGTTGTCCTCCTTCCCATTCGGGAAGTCCAGATGTGAGACGGCGAGGTCCTGACTTGCGGAGCTGGGCGAGTCCATCCAAGACCTGAGATTCACGGGCGCTGGCTCGACGCAGTCGGTCTTCGAGGGGGTTGGCAAGGGTGGTGTGAACGGCTGCGAGCTTGGCGAACAACTCTGGTTTGAGAACGACTTGTTGCCTGTTATCCTCTGCGTCTGCGACCTGATGAATGTCAAGGCGGGACAGGGGGTCGGCTTGGGTGTTGGCCTTTCCGGGACGATGGGTGAGCGTAAAGTTGAAACGGGAAAGATAGAGGGACCACCGGGCCTGTCGTCGACTGAGGTCTTGTGCTGTGCGCCAGTATTCCAGGTTGGAATGATCGGTGACGATCTCGAACGGTTTGGGGAGTCCTTCCAGGAAATGTCGCCAGTCCTTGAGTGCTTCGATGATAGCCAGCATTTTCTCGGTCGTAGATTTCGTAGTTACGTTCGGCTGGTTGCATGGAGGCGGAACGGAAGGCGACAGGATGCCAGAGTCCATCGTCGAGCTTTTGAAGGAGGGCTCCTCCAGTAGCAAAGCCAGAGGCGTCTACTTCAACGCGGGTCGGTCGGTCAGGGTCCCATAGTGTCAGTATTGGAGCGGAGGTGAACGCGTTTCGGAGGGTGTCGAAGGCTTGTTGTTGCGGTTCGTTCCACTGCCAAGGGATGTCCTTCTTGGTGAGGTCGTTGAGAGGCCCGGGCGATGGTAGCAAAGTCCTTGATAAAACGGCGGTAGAAGTTGGCGAAACCCAAAAATCCACGGACGGCGCGAAGGTTGCGGGGAACAGGCCAGTTGCGAACAGCTTCTACCTTGGCAGGGTCCATACGGACTTCTCCCTCCCTAATGACCAGACCGAGGTACTCGATCTCCTCCCGCTCAAACTCGCATTTCTCCGGACGAAGGTAAAGGTCGTGTTTCTTGAGCCGATGGAGGACCTCGTGCACGACTTGGCGGTGTTCGTCAAGGGTGGCCGTGAAGATGAGAATGTCGTCCAGGTAAACAGCGACCTTTCCTGAAGCGATGAGGTCCGAGAATATTGAGTTCATGAGGGCCTGGAACGTTGCTGGGGAATTGGTGAGGCCGAAAAACATGACCAGGGGTTCAAAGAGTCCTTGGTTGGTGGCGAACGGCGGCCTTCCATTCATCTCCTTCTTTGATGCGGATGTTGTTGTAGCCCCATCTGATGTCGAACTTGGTGAAGTACTTGGCACCGCGGAGTCGGTTGACGATGTCGGAGACAAGGGGAAGGGGGTACCGATTCTTCACCGTGATCTTGTTGAGCTTTCGATAGTCCTGGACAAAACGGAGCTTACCATCCTTCTTCTTGACGAAGAAGACCGGGGAAGCGAGGGGTGATTTGGACGGACGGATGTAGCCTTTCTTGAGGTTCTCCTCAAGGAATCGGTTCAACTCCTCCTGCTCGTTCTGTGACATGGGGTAGACCTTGGTGCGCATGGTGGCCGGTGCTCCCGCAACGAGATCGATGGCATGGTCCCAAGGCTTATGTTCAGGGAGACGATGAGACTCGGATTCGGAAAAGACGGAAGCGTACTGTCGATACTGGGGTGGAACCATCTCTTCGAACGTTTTCTGGGGTTTATCCTTCTGGGATTTCTCGGCAATCTGCTGGGAATACGTGAAACCTGCAGCGCACCAAAGTTCGTCTCCTGTATCCTCGATCAACCCCTTGCGAACCCACTTCCGCCGGGTCACTCGGTTAGCGCGAATGCGGCAAAGGGGCGGTTCGCTTGCATCGAGATCCAGGAGTGGGCTGGGGAGTGTCGTCAGAGACAGTGGGAGGAGGGGAATCCGGGGCGGGATCAATTTGTTCGATGATGGCATCTCCCGATGGTGGTTCCTTCCGGGGGGGTTGAGCATCCTCGTCAGGGACTTCTTCGATGGTGACGCTGGAGATACGAGGTGGGGGAATCTCCAAGGTGCCCTTGCGCCAGTCGATCTGAGGGTTGATCTTGCGAAGCCAGGGGAGACCTAGAATGACATCCTCCCCTCCGAGATCGGTGATGAGGAAGTCTGTCCATTCGGAGTAACCGTCGACTGTGAGTTCTAAGCGAGCGAAGTGAGTGATGTGACCAGCCTGATTCGGAGTTCCATCGATGTTAAGAAGTCGAATGGGGTGTCGGAGGGGGTAAGCGGTGATCCGGTGTTTCTCCACAAAAGGTTTGTCCAGGAATTTGCCGGTAGCGCCACAGTCGATCATTGCTGCGGGGTCCGCCGTACGGTTTCTGCCTCTGAGTCTGATGCGAATGCGAAAATGCGAAGAACCGGGATGTATTTCGCGAACAGAGCTAATAGTACACGAATAAATTGAGTCATATTCAGAGACGGCGTACGACGGTGAAAAGGGTGCATGCTTTGCAGCACGAACAAGCACCCGTTTCAAAAACCCTTCTGTTGGATGTTCTCGAGGCGCTCCAGGATGTCCTGCTGGTTCTTCTGAGCGACCAGGAGATCGGCGAGGGAGACGTTAGACGAGGTGGCAGCAGGTGGAGCAGGCGTGGCAGCAACGGTAGCGGTGGGCGTGGGAGAGTCGTCAAAGAGCGAGAAGGGAGCTTCTTGGGTAGCAGCAATGCGACGTCGTGGGGCGAGTCCTCGGGCCTGGCGGATAGCCCATGAACTTGTCTTGGCAGACGTTAGCGGAGTGGCCGAGACGCTGGCAGTGGTTGCAACGAAGTGAGCCGTGGTTGCCGTCCTTCTTGATGTGGGCGGAGGATCCGCAACCA